CCGTGCTCGGCTGGCAGCTGCGCCACAACTATTAAAGTGGAGAGAACGATCTGTGGCGGCACGCTTGGTCTCAGAACCGGCGTACGCATCCCTTTGAGTGCGAAGTGATGTATTGGACCCACCTTTTAACGAAACCTGGCAGGTACGTACTTTGTGGATCATCGCGAACCTGCCGTTTTAGTGTTGTAGGCACCTTCCAAGGCCACCTACCAGCTACAATTCAACAACTTCAAAAGCCTCGAATCCAACAGAAGCTTCGAAAGCGCCGAATTCAACAGCCCCAAAAGCCTCGAATTTTGACCCTCCATTACTTACACTTATGACAAGGGCTTACGTTGTCATCAGACCTAGTCAACAACAACAATCGCGACTGATGCCAGCCAATGACACCAAAGACAGCTATGAAGCCAGGAGACGTCATCAACCGTCTCAGTGACGCTCTACCACTCATCAGATAAATCTGTGACATCTCTGGCCTTCCTGGGCCCTCGATTGGCGTCTTTCATGAGGACCAAAACATCTACACGACGCACATCGGCCACAGAGATGTCGCTGCGAAGCTGCCGCCAACATCAGACACCATGTACGGAATAGGTCGCTCACAAAGGGTTTTGTCGCCGCAAGCCTGGCGCAGCTCATCGGTAAGCATACGGGAGTCACCTGGACCTCGCCAATCCAGGATATACTGCCCGAGTACCAGCCTGAGCAGTCGGATCTGGATGGAAAGGTGGCTCTGGTTGACTTTCTTTCGCATCGCACGGGTCTATCTGGAGACATGTCTATTGCCCTTCAGGGTGACCTGGAATTCATGCTTGCTCCATCCGATACTCTTCCAGCCGTGTCTCGCTTAAATACGGTTGCTCCGTTTCGCAAGTCTTAGGTATATAATAATTGGGGATATAGTGTCGCCGGTGCAGTCATCGAGAAGCTTTCGGGCAAACCCGCCTACCAGTACATCCGCGAGACTATCCTTGATCCCCTGGGATAGACCCGCGGCCGCTCGGCGTCTACTGTGGCCGTTATCGAAACGTGCTTGGTAATTTCTTCATCGAAATCAGGCAGAGCCTAAAAGACGCGCATCTTTTGGGGTTGTTATTCTTGAGCAGAGAGGAACAGATGTATCAACTTCGTCATCTTCAGGGTGACATGTTTGAGTGGGCACCAGACTACGACGAGCAGGCTAGACGAGCCCGGTTCACGACATGGGACACGGCATATTTCCAGATTGGTTTCCACTTCAAAGACGAGGATGAGGCCAGCTCACTGGAATGGGCTGGTGGGCAGACTCTAGTTGCTCTTCACCAGAGCCAGTCTGTGGCTCGGGATGGGCTTATCAATAGATCAGGGAATAGTGACAACGATAAGCTTTGATTCCAAGAGCCTCTGTAGCCGCCGCCGCAGTATGGGCCAGCCCGCACTGATCTTGCGACGGAGCTTTGTTGGCAAGGCTCGCCGGGATTTCTCTCTTGGAAGAAGACAAAAACTCGAGGCAGTCATTCAGTGGGTGCCCGCACATGGCGAGAGACAATGCGTAGCAAATATCAAGGTTTCCATGCTCTGTCATGCACAACTCAGCGGTATATGTCTGCGGATTTTAATTCTCAGCACGTACTCCCTCAACGAAAGGAATTTTGCCATCTCCGGTGGCTGGTTGAGCAGCCGTCCATGCAACGGCCTAGGAAGGAGGGAGACACCAACGGCACAATTGTTGATCTCATTCACAGCAAGTGTTGGGTATGTTGGCTCCGACGGTACTCTGAAATGGAGATAATTGGCCAACGCATCATATCGTTGAGAAGCCAGCCCCAAGGGATCCCCGAGCCGCTCCCACGGTTCGCTTGCCCGTCCCAAAACACCGACAGAAGGGAAACCGTTCTCGGTTAGGTTGATTATCACGTCAAGCTCCCATTTGAATCCCTCGGTCAGAAGCTCAATATTAATGAATATTGTTCTATTTGGCTCCGTGAAGAGCTCATCCTCTGTCAGGTCGGGAAGTAGGGTCGACTGAGAATCTTGATCAAAGACTTGCATCCTGCTGTCAATCATTGAAGGGCTAAAGTCCACGAAGTACTTGGTGCCAATGCGAATATGTGCAGGATACTCCAAAGCAAATATCGATGAGCGAGTAAGTGTGTCCGCAGAACTACTCACTCGAATGAGAATCGGCGAGTTCCCACGTTCTCCTTCCCAATCATTGGGGTCGAGGTTGTCCATGTCGCAAAGCTCTTGGACATGTACTCTATCATAGGCGTCGTAAACATGCCTAAGGTATATTCCAACATACCCGCCGGGCTGTACACCACAATTCAGGCGGAGAAGGCACAAGCTAGGGTCTCCTTTGTGCCTAATGAGCTTGGCTCTCATTTCTAAACCTCGATTGGTCATGGAGAAGCTGCTAGAGAAATGGCCCAAGGATTCGATCTCGGAAGCACCCCGAAACTGCTCACTGGAGCTTGCAAGGATGCCCCATCCAGAGTTGTTGCCTGTATGGCAAAAAGTCAGCTTGAATCAAGAAGACCTGGTATGGAAGCACCGTGCCTTCATATGGGTGACAACTCTGTCCTGATACTGTTGGCTGCTCTACCGTCCAGGCAAATATAGAGTCGTCGTTATAAACTGTGATCAACTCGCGCTGGAGCCTGTTAAACGCTCGCCATCTCCCTTCGCCATAGATCAATGGGAGGCTGACCCCGAACAGGCCCAATAGTGAGTACGTCTCGTCCTCCTGGACGGTTGTTACCCGCCGAGACGCCCAGGATAGTCTCATTGCTATAGAACATGATTGAAAATCCGTCGGCTTGAAAGACGTTAAATGTCGGGCTTCGATGCTGCTGGCCTCCCTGATCTCCGAGGCCCAGGTCTCCCGGCTGCCGATACGGCGCCACTCTCGATCAACAAAGACCAAGTAGTGAGGAGCAAGCAGTTCTTGCAATGTCCATCCTCGGGAAAACCACCTGGCCTTGATGAAATCGGAATGAAGAGCTTCATAGGCAAGGCTATCGGGACAAGCAATATCGTTAAGATTTGCGATCTCGTCTGGATCCTCATCCTCGTGTAGACCTGCATCTTCAAGTGCCGCGAGAGCATCCACGTCTTCGAGGTATGCGTAGCAGAGGCCAGCATCCTGGTAGTATCGGAACATGGCATTAATAGCCTCTTGTATGTCAGCAGGGTTGGTCTTGTCGATGCAGCAATTGTCCATCCATGCCCAATCCCACCCATCCTTTGCGGCGCGGTCACAGAACTTTGTCAGCTTTGACCAGCCTTTTTGCTTGTAGATGTTATTCTCTATATCTGATTTTCTCTTCCTGATGTCCTGGTAGGTGATTTCTTCCTTGGGTGACGTCCATGTGTGGGAGAGAATGGCGTAGTGTGGGAAAGGCACTGGGATGTCGTGTGCCTCAAAGAGCGCATAGTTTGCTGTTTTCAAGAGCCGCATGGATCCGGCTTTACTCGATGAACTTGGTCTCCGTGGCGTTACTTCTGATGATGAAACAGCTGAGAAAGATCTTGTTGGGAAGAATACGGAGTACGAGTGTCATTCGTGGGTGGCCTCCCGCCCGGAGGATAATGTGACACGACATGGTGGCTGAGACAAAAGTACATCGTTTTTGGTAGATCCTGAGCATGGTTAGACTTGAGGGCTGCCCTGTCCATTCATGATTTGCTGAAACCCATGCCATTTTGTTTCTCCTACGCTGCCGGCTACTCCGTACGTCCCCGGCCTTCCAGCTCCGCAAACTGAAGTCGAGTCTGGTCAGCTGGTCCATGTCAACTTCCCGGGTTTTTAGGGCTCGCATCTCAGACCTTCAGACATCAGATTTTGCGCCATCAATTTGCCTCGATTCCCGGCCGGAATGGCTGTTGATAACTCAACTGCAAGGCTGAGGATGATGCAATAACGAAGTGCCTACCAATGCCAATACCGAGTACATCAATTTAAGACATCTGCCTGATATGGATGACTATCAGGTAGGGTAACTCCATGTCTGCATAAAAGTGATCAATACGGAGTAGAAGGAACAATGCTACGTGAGCCTACGTCATGCTCCGTGATCATGGCGCCCTTGGTGTCTTAGGCAGCCAACAGCATTGGCTGAGCTGTCTGTTCCACGAATGGTCCAGACTTTTTGTGCTGACTAGTACGGAGTAACTAATTTGCAATATGCCTTGCAGCCTAATGAGGCGTCGAAACTGCTTCGGAGGGAGGGAGGTGAGGCTGCAAAGACATGGATTCCAAGCCTCCGCAGAGCAAGGCTGGCCAAACGCCAGGGGCTTGCTCCCTCAAAACTATCCAATGGGACTGAAGGGAGCCTACCCTCTGGCAGCTTTCGATTTTCAAGAGGCTCTCATAAAAAACGCTGAGCCGTAATTCCTGGGCTGAGTTCCCTGTTCCATGTGAAAAGTAGCCAATCAAGCAGACGGTAGCCTGCCCTCTGGCAATTTTCAATTTTAAAAATTGACAAAGACAATAGTGTATGCTGAGCCGTAATTTACTTTCTACAGGGTCCTCCTCTTGTTCGAGTTTGGCTGCGGTAGCCGGGAATGACGCGGCATCGCGACGTGAGTATACACGTAAACCAGACTGGGCGGTAGTTTAAAGAGTTTAATGATAAAACAAGTGACATAAACTTGCTCACATTCTCTGGCCAGGCTGGTAACTTTGGCCATATCCCCTCTCATCCCATGCTCGCCTCTTCATAACTTCGTTGCGAACCGCGTCGCGTTTCTCCCTCCCCTCCACCATTTAGTCTGCCAGCGTATCAGTTTTTTCAAGCAGGTCGAAATTACCATACATGATGGTCTGTTCAAGGGCACTTCCTCACAGCCCGGTACTCCTCCTGATCTATCTAGGCCTCAGGGGGAGAAATTTCGTACGCAAGCCCTCTGGACGCCTAATACCACATGTATAATTCAAATTGAAATGCCGAGATGCCTATTCGTACTCTACTTTCCTTCTCAGACATCTTCTATGGTATATTTCAATCATTCATCATCTTCTACGTGTTTGATATCTGGCCCTGTCCTTCGAGTTCTTGCTCCTGTAACCAAGGGAGCAGGCATCGCTGGCCGACTTTAGACTCATGGTGTCGTCTTAACGTTTCTGTGCGGGCAAACGATCTCCCACAGCCCCATCCGTCCCCGTTCTTGAGATTACCACGGCAAAAATAAAGCCTCCGTCCTGTGTGTGTGCTCTTATGACGCTTGTGATCACTGCGCCTCGAAAAGCTAGTCCCACATACGCTACATACATACGGCCGCTCGTTCGTGTGCGTATAGAGGTGTGACTTCAAATTGTACCGTCTGTTGTAGGTGGCCGGGCAATGCGGGCACTTGAATGATGTTTGTCGTGGCCGCTTCGGTTTCGGCGATTGTCGTGGTACAAGGGCTCCTTGTGGCTCTGAAGACTCTGAAAACTCAGAAGACTCTGAGGACTCTGAAGACTCTGAAGACTCCCTCTCTACCTCATGTGCCTCTGCCACGCTATTCCGCACATCTTCATCCGTTGGGAATTTCCCGTCTTGTATATCTGCCGCTGCGTGCGTGGTTTTTATGTGCTTATCCCGTTCCTTCTCCGATATGAATCCAAGGAGAAACCCTGGACACGCTTCATCTGTACATCGGAACCGCCGATCGTGCCGTCCGATATGCTTGTCGCGTTCGTGAGCCATGGAGAACCCTGCCGTGAAAAACTGGCAGCTAAACCTGTAGCATTTGAAGAGATTACTACCATATTTCTCTTGGAGCCCTTCTCTCACGGGGGACTCTACTCCTATCGTGGAGGACAGTATGCTTTCCATAACGGCGCGTACGTTGACAACAATGTTTGCAAGATTCAGAGCAATCTCGCCCTGTTTCATCTGTCCGAAGAAGCTTAGCTGCTTTCTTGTCGAGATGATTGTTTTCTCAAGCTTATCGTAGAAAGGCAAGTCTTTGAAGAACTGAAGTCTGTCACGATTTCCATTTGACACTGCAAATTTTGCAGTCGGAGAAGACCAATGGTGGTGGATGAAAACTTCCAATGATTCGGCAAGCTGGTTCATCAGTTGTTGATGAGCATCGGCATGTACAACGCCTGCTTCCAGATGTCGAATCCAGTACAGGACTGCATAGTCCATAAATACGTAATCCCCGTTGAGCACTGCATCTTGAGTCGGGGGCTGTATAAAGGCTGGGAGGTTCAAGTAGTCGATACAGAGGCACGCCATCTTGAGCTCTTCAACAGGTTGATCAACGTGCTTATCCTCAATTAAAAAGCTGTTGGACTCGTTATCAGAGGCGGCTTCTTCAGATGCACTTGGAAAACTCACAACTTCACAGTTTGATGAACGAACTCGAGAGTTCCATCTACTCGGACCTCCACCAAAGACTCGCATAGATCTTTAGGAGCCACCACAAATCGTTGCCGTTCATACTCAACTGAGAGCTTATCCAGGTTGATAGACTTTAGCCCTTGGACCTCGTGCCATCTGAGCGGTCTCTTTGCACACACGAGCCACCCAAGGAGCATCAACGCGTCCCGCAACTCGGCACGAGACGCCTGCGTCTTTATTCTGTGCATAATTCGTCGGTAGCTATGATGAGTTTAGTCAAAAAATTGAATCAAGGCCATCTTTTGCCCTCTGAAAACTTACGCATCATTGACCTCCCTTGGGAAAATGCGTTCCTCTAGTTCTTCTTCCAAACCACTGACTGATGTCTGTCCTAGCAGGTTTAGCCATATCAGTTTTGCGAGCAAAAACATGCCTCTGGCAGAATTGGTCACTATTTCAGAGACCTCGCTTGCTTTTTCGTCAGAAAGCTGAAACTTGCGCTGGACCTCAACCGCCTGGATTTGACTGTAACCATCGATGTCGCCCTTGTTGTCCTCGGGGCTCATCTTGATGCTGGCAAGTCCAGTAAAGTCTTTTCGAGCATGGCGATCATCTTGACTCACGAAGAGACAGCGTATTCTGTCGGGATTATCACTGGGGAGATCTTCGACTAGTTTTCTGAACCACTGTGTAATATGTTTCCGTTGTTCTCTTGCACATTCATCCAGGCCATCGATAATTATATATGCGGAGGGGCAATTTTTAAATGCAAGCATGAGAAGATCCTCAACTACTCCTGGGGAAGTAAGTACAGCTCCTGTACTACCGCAGCACTCTTGGTAGAAATAGGGCTGTAAACCCTTGTCACTTTTGAGAAGTTGAGCAAGTAAGCTCCGGCCAAGGGCGAGGAAATTGTCCTTTTCGGAGTTACTATCCTTGCAGTAGAAGAAGAGCACCGTTGGCTTGGTCGGGAGCTTTTGTGCCTCCTCCACGACAAGTGACGCCAGGATAGTCTTCCCTATTTTACAATCAGCATCATCTTCCAGACAGAAACTTCGTTTAATCGGGTCAAGAACTAGTTACCGGCACCAGGTATACCGTTGAGCCAGAGCAGTGGAGGAATTGTAGGAAATTGCGGATCAAACCATTCTTTAAAAGTTGCGTTGTCCAAAAGCCATCGTCCACTGCCAGGATACTCTGATCGAATTTTGGAATGATAATACTGATCGGTCTCGATACTTGTGGCGTTTAACCAGCTACATACCGCTCTAAATCGGCTCTCCTGCTCGAAATCCATTTCCTGGTCCCGTTGACAATCTTCTCGTTGCCCAACTCTCTGCGACTCTTCAACCTGGGATGGGGTGGCACGACTCTCAATCAGACTTCGATGACGAGCAATTTTGGAAATTTTGTCAGAGAGACGACACTTGCATGTCTTCCACGTCGTAGTAAAGATCCGCTCCCACTCTTTGCTCAAAGCATTAGCAAAATTGCCAAGTGAGAAGTGTAAGACATCAGGACTCACGCGGCTGCTGAAAGTACTGCAAAGCAATCCTGTGAAAGTCAAGGATATCTAGATACATTTGCTGTAGTATTTGTACCATGTGAGGCTCAGTCAAGAAGAAATCTCTATAGTGGCCAAGAAGTGGTAGGTTGTCTCCCATACGCTCATATGTATCGAGGACTTGGCCCGCCTCGGCAACTGAGCTCGATATCTGCCCACAGGTGTCATTCGTTGGCACTGATGAAAAGGACCCGTGCATCATACCTGCAACAATCGCCTGGTCGGCCCCTGGAAAGAAGTCAGTCGTTGTGTCGCGGCATCGTTACTCAGATACCACCTACCCAGACGAAGGCTATAATCTCGCCGTGGTCACACAATACCTGCGCTACATTCCAAAACTGTTCCATTGTCTCGAGGAACCGTTTCAGTCGACTCATGTTCTGCAATTGCCGTTGCGAGTGCTGTCTTGCCTGCAAGTTCCCGATGCTCGCGTCAAATTCCTGTTTTGTAACCCGCTTAAACTCTTCTATATCTCGTTTACTCAAGTTTTTCTTGAACTCTTCGAGCGTTGTGACGAGCACGGATCCGTAATGACCGCTGGCCATGGTTAGCGTTTTCTCTGCAGCAAAACAGGGGGACTTTGTGGCGAAATCCTCCACGGTGACTTGAGCACATATCTGGTAATCGCGGGGAAGCCTGCATGATGACGGGTTGCAGGGCGGCCGGATGGTGTGGGAGAGCTGTCAGCATCTGCAAGATTACGGATTTACTCCCCTTGTCTTATGATTCATGTTCATTTCCTTGACTCTGGTATGGGAAAAACGCGTTCTTCATCGGCTCGTCCAAAAGGACTTGGCGCCTAACCCTAACCTTAACCCTGATCCCTGGGAACGAGTTATTGAGACCTCCTTAGATGGAGCTTTAATCCACATTATTCAAGCCTTCTTTCTTAAATCAGAAATCCATATTAACGTCTCTTTGCGACAATCTAGGCACTGTGGTCTCGCGTACGTATTCCACTTCCAATACCGAAACATATCAGTCGCATCGATCAACACACAATGCTCCGCCAAAGGAAAACAGTTTACCTTGATTCCGGGCGCAAGACACATAGATTTCGTTTCAACTACTGATAGTCTTTCCATATTAAAGTCAATGCCCGGTATCATAGGCTTCCCACGATTAGCCTACCGCGCAACTCAGGCAAAACTCTGTGCATTATTGCCTGCTATGGGAATCCTCCCTATTTGTCGTTTACATAGCTATAGTACCAGATATCAAATGTGCCCCGGTCGCCGCTACCCCCAGAACTCACAGCCTCCTCACGCCTAAACCGCAGCCAGTTCACCTCACCCAGCCCGGCGCGCGTGATGGCGTCCCGAAACTGCTTCTGCGAGATGCCAATAACCCACAGAGTCGACCCCTTTGCGTCGGGCTCGTTCGGCACACCGCGCGTTAGCTTCAGCTTAGTGACCTTGTCAAAGTCCTGCAAGACCCGAGTGATGAACTGATAGGCTGTGTCATTGTTCACCTCGCTGTAGCACTTGAGCTCGAGGAACTTTCGAACGCCCCTCACACCAGGAGGTTTTCGAAACTCAAGATCAACAGCGTAGTTGGGGTGATCGAGATAGATGTTTTGCTCTGTCCAGACCTGGTACCCGTCTTGACCTTCCATCAACATTGCGATTTGGCCCTGAGCCCATCGCTCCCAGCCACCATTCCACGTAGGGGGGAGGACTAGACGGGTTTGCTGCAGAATCCACCTCTTAACAAAGGCGACGGGGGTGTCATTATTACTCATGGTGACTTTGGGCGAAAAAAGTATTGGCGGAGGGTGAGAAGCGTTGCTGTGAGTGATACAGAACAGTTTGAAGTTTTGTCAGTGGTGTTTGCACACTTCAAGAGAACAAATCATACGTAGCGTCCTTATTTTTACGACAATGGAAGGGAACTTGGGACTGATAACTGCTTCGATTGCCACGTCTTTGTTTACCATTATGCTAGTTGCTCTCGACTTGTTGCCTGACGTTGCTTAAAAAGGGCGTTTCAGCTGCGGGGCCTTGTTGACCGATGTCTGAATTTGTTCCATGATGCATGGAAATACGATATATTGAAACGCCACTGCGTGGTCCAAGACATGTTTCGGTTAGTATGACGTGGGCTGTTTTGACTTGTCAGAGCGGCTTAGGGCCCAAAGCGTACGGCATTCCTGGGAGTATTCATCTGTTATACCAGCCAATAAAAATAGGACGGCAACGTATTGAAAGAATCGTTTTGTTCTCTCTGCTATAGCCTTTGTAAGCGTACCGAAATCATAGTGACGAGAAAATACACCTTTATTTTCCAGCAGTGCAGCGGGATAAAGAGCTGTGTACCTTGGTATATAAGCATGCAGAATCGATTCAAATAGACTGTTGTTGTTTTTTAATGTGCACAGCACCAAATGTGACATATCAAGAATTGAAGCCACAGTCGGCTGTTTTATGGCAGGAGGATATGACATTGATAAGCGTGATGTGACGACAGTTACAGAGGTGGTTGTAGGAAGGCGATGTCAGCGGTAATAAATGGTTATATTTTCACATTAACTTGATGGCAAATCTCAGGTAGTTCAGTCGCCAAAATTGAAGTGCTTTTCCCCACAAGCATCGCTTCAGCATCTTATTTCATGTCGGACTCGAGGGTTGTGCGAGTTGCGGAGAAATCCCCGAAACTACAGAGCGTTAATGGCACTATTTGGCCTACATTGCATATACATTGGCCAGTTTCATGCTTTTAAATGGGGATGTGACTGGTAATGTAGTAATACATCAATAGTCTTCAGACAATGTCTCAAACACACAGCAGAATGATACGATCCATTTGACTGTAACCCCCGCCGTCTGTGGTGGTTGCATGGTAGCTCCAAATGATGGCCCAGTTTCCGGCCAGCTGCCGCAATATGGCTTTTTCAGCTGGATTGTGTCAATGAAATGGCTACTTGTGGACAGCGTAAGCTTCACGTTCCATCATGACTGACAACTCCGCCATGTAGAGCCCACAGCCCCGTGAAACAGGCGGCTTGCGTGGCCGAACTCGCCTTGTCGTGGAGTTATCAAAACTATCAGTTATTTTACTTTAATTTGAAAGTTTTACCTGTACTAGACCTGAGATTCACTGTGTGCCTGGTCCCTCCACTTGATGCCGCCCGGATGCTGACAGAGTACCGCCCCCATGTAAACAGCCGTGTCCACGCTGACCATATATATGATCTCATACAGCCGATACGTAAAAACAAAGTCGTCCATCTTGTCAATCCTTACGACATGATTTGGCCCGCCATTACTAGCTGGCTCCATGCCTAGATCGACGGAACGTTATATCCCGATCCGCCGAGGGACACATTGGCCTCTTCGCGATGCCTCTTGCTGGATCTTGCCATGCATTTCGACTCCCGTTACCAGGAAGATTCGCGCATTGAAGGCAGGTTGATGGCGAGACAATGTATAGTAGCCACATATGCGCGCTATCAAAAAGGAATGCAACTAATCGTTTACATACAAAGAAACCCTTTATACTTCGTAGTTTCTAGCAAAAAGCTTCTCGCATGCCAACAATGCGATTGGCCCTGTATCGACAGATGTCCATATTATACTCGGTAAGCTTGAAACATTTCTCTTTACTTGTCCGGAGCTCCATTGTCGCCCGCGGCCATAGTAGGACGCGCGACGCCTCCGTGACAGCATCTGCAGAGTACGGAGTAATTAGAGTCGAAATGTTTAACCACAGCATTTACCAGATTCAAAGCCAATGCAGAAGGGACATCTGGAGTCTTTAATTGGGTTTGGGACATGCACGGCTTACAGTCTTTCGCGCGTGTTTATGCACCTCGTGTTACACAGTCAATCAATAGTCCAGGCAGAATGAGGCTGGACTCTGCGCACTGAGGCACTTCCCCTGAACAATAGGTCGGTTTCCAGTGTTGTGGTCAACGGCGGCTGAGCTGCACCAAGTATCGCCCTGTTTGCGAAGCCAATATTCTAATGTGACCGTGGTCACGAGGGCAAGGCATACATGCAGTGCCCTCAGCCACCCATCTGCACACCCATCAACACCATGTGAGCTCAGCCCAACAGACAAGGCAGATCGACCCATCGAGCCGATGTACTTACTCTCCTCTTGCCATCTACCTAAATACATTGATCTGTTCTGTCTCTATTCGGGGCACGCATCTGTCTTGAGTAGAGACCAGTTGACCCCTCAAGTGCTCAGTGCTGCTACAAAAAGGAACGAGCTCGCCAGTCGCGCCTGCCTGTTCCATAGATGTTGTTCGGCGAGGCGCCCCAAGACCGTCCAGCTGTCTGGCATCCGCCCCCCGAACATCGTGGCTCCTTCACCATCCTCTCGACATGTATCATCACGCTAGCCCTGTGCATCTGGACCTCGTTACATTTGAACATTCCGGAGCATCAACCCGAGAAAACACGCTCCAACTGGAACCCAAAGGCCTGGGTGACGCGGCAGCAATGGAGGAAGGTGGGCTGGCTGCTTCTGGGCCTGCTGGCGCCTGAAATGGTATGGCTTCCATGATACCAGACACGACTGTTTGCTGAAAGAATGTGCGCTGAGAGGTACCCTGTCAAGATAGCCTTTACTGCTTGGGTGCAAAGACGAAATGCCTACAGCTTCACCAAAGAAATGCAAGAAGTCTGGGACGAGCAGCTTCGAGGCCCCGTACCGCCGCGAGCGTCAGCCTCGCAAACCACTGCACGTGTGTCTGTAGACTCGAGAAGCAGTCAAGCTCATCGTGGAGAGCCACGGTCTTCCGCAAGCCTAGATAGGGATCCTACTGCCCACTTCAGAGACTCTGAACAGGACATAGAGCTGGGTTCCATTCCAAGCCTCGACGCTTCATCGTCAGAACAACACGGCCAAGATGGGAGCCTCCTATCCTGCGCCAGTCACAGTTCCGAATCGGCCGCCAAAGGGCCCTGTCTGCCAAGAAAACACCACTGGACAGTGACGCATAGCTTCTTCGTCCTCTCTGGAGGGTTTGCTTTCGACACAACCGGCCTCCCCGAGGACCAAAAGTTTCTCCCCGGGTCGCGCAACCGCGTTACGCTCAACCAAAAAGCGGTGCTCCTAGTCGCCAGGCATTTTCCGTCCCTTATCCCGGACATCTCAGAAGCCGCCATCGCAGACAAGAGCAAAGCCAATGCCCTTGCCAAGGCCATTGTGTGCCTCCAAGCAACTTGGTTCGTAATCCAATGCCTTGTCCGTCTCACTCACGATGTGCCAATTAGTCTATTGGAGCTAAATACATTCGCCCATGCACTTTGCGCCCTGATCATTTACGGTTTGTGGTGGAGGAAGCCATTGGATATCGAGGAACCGATCCTCATCGACGACGAGAGTGCGCACGGCATATGCGCATTCCTTTGCTGCCTGTCGACATTTGACGAAATTTGCGATGGAAAGCGACTCGATTTTGATGAAACACCTCTAATGCCACGAACAGGAGAGGAGCCATTAGGAAATCGAATGAGTGAATTTTCACCAAGCCGGGAAGGCCCGCCTCCCGGAGCCGAACAGCTCGAGCATGGGCAATACATTCCAGGTACCGGCATTCGAGGCTACGTTAGCTCCTATTTCGGGGAGAAGAAATGTTTCTGCTATTATCCGCGCGACTTGCGCCGCTGGAGATTAGCATACTCTGCCTGGGGATCCAACAGACCAGGACTTGAGAGTATCGTTCAACACGAGATCAAGCTAGAGAACAAAGGGGGGCCATGGGCCCCAAAATGTCGACTTCACGATAGAGCACGAAATCGACCAACCGGCCGTGGATTCTCAGACATGTTTGACCTCGTGTGCGGCGACCCATTTTCCGAGCATCGGGATGGCGTCGTGATCCTGATTGCCTTTGCTTGTGCAGGACTCACGTATGGCACCCTTCATTTGCTTGCGTGGAACTCGCCATTTACATCAGTTGCGCAGAAGACGCTCTGGCGCATTTCGGCTGTTGCCATAGCTGCGTCGGGTGCCATTGTTATATTCCTAGTACGGCTATGTCGATGGCTTGTTGTCACTCGGGAAGACATCCCCGACAATTGGTACTGTCGCAGGTCATTGATTAAAATGTCGATTAGAATCATTGTTGCGATAGTTGTGTTGTTTCTTTTGTTTTATCTGTTTGCAAGGGCTTACCTGGTTGTCGAATGTTTTGTATCGGTGGCATATCTACCGGAGCGTGTCTTTCAGCAACCCGGGTGGACGTACTATTTCCCACACATAGCCTAGTCTTGGTGTAATACTCCATCATTCGCATGTCCATCAAACACGAGCAATACCGTAACGTGTAACTTGTATTTGCAAGATGTATTCGGTCAAGACTATCATAATAGAAAGCCAGGAAAGACTTCATCGTCTGGGTCAATGAAAAACCTGGTCTGCCCAACCAAGTTGGCCCGCCCCCTAACGCGTGCAATACACGCCGGGAATCCGTCGACGGGACTCGCTACCGCAGACACAATGTCCGCCTCAAACGTCGACGCTATGATGGACCGATGCACGAGCCTCGAGGACCCGGGGCCCAGCTTGCCCTGCGCAAGCAAGAGGGCGAGTCTGGCGCAAGTCCCAGAGCCGCAGGGGGAACGGTCAACCTCTCCATCTGCAAATATGGTCACGTTTCTCTGGTAGATGGCACGCGTTGCGCCTGGACCATTCTCCTCCTCGCTGAAGAAAATCACCCCGTAGAGGCCATACGAACCGTAACGCGCTCTAGTGCCGAGCAGCGCCTCAACCTCCCTCGCGAGCTGAACAAAGCGCTGCGCGTTCCCGGGCTCAATCTCTAGTCCAAACTGCGCCGCGTCCAGACTGGCGTAGACGGCGCCGGCAAAGGCCAAATCCACAAGGACGTCGACGCCGCACGAGGGGAGTGTCAGATACACCGGCCCCGTGAGCTGAAAGCTAGCCACGTTGATAAAGTCTGCGTGTACGGGTTTCCCCTTTTCCACGGCCATGCGCGCCACCACACGGCCCGAGGGCACGTCGACCACCACGTCGACTGGCCCGTCGGCGTGCGGCACCACGACGATGCGGTGAAAGACTGCCCAGTAGCCGAGGGCGATGGTGCCGTGGCCGCAGGCGGTGGAGAAGCCGTTCCTGTGCCAGAACAAGACGCCAAAGTGGGCGCCAGAGTCGTCCGGCGGCGTGATGAAGCCGCCGTACATGCCGGCATGGCCGCGGGGCTCGTGGCACAGCAGTCGGCGGAGCTCGTCGAGGGGGTGGCCCGGGGTCGCTGTGATGTCGGCGCGTCTCTGGGCGACCGTGGGCGAGGCCGGGAGGTGGCCGGCCGGCAGGTTATGCACGACCCGGAATGGTTCGCCGGCCGTGTGCCAGTCTTCTACCTCTATCCAATACGAGGGTTTTCCCGGGCTGTGCATGACGGAGAATATGGTGTTTTAAAGGCAGAGGGAGTGTGAACTTGAGATCTTGAAGGGCGGGAGGAACCCCTGCCCAGCTGCATCCGCATATTTAAAATTGTTCGGCTACAACCTGGTTGGTCCTCGAACAGCCAGCACGTATCCGATTGCGGCTCGGCGTTTTGAGCGACGCAAGCGGATGGTCGGTATGGGAACCGGTGTGATGGGGGCGGTCCGCCCCCATGCGCCCCCATGAGGTATTGCATTTTCTACGGAGTACCTCGCCATGATGAAGATGAAGAAGCTGGGGGATTCCCGCGCTTTGATTTTCCTGTTTGAGCTGGCCCGTTGGATCATCCCCAGTTTGGGACATGTTCCCTCGTTGGAAAGCCTTCGCCCATCTGACAACTCCCTCGGTTGGGTATGCAGTACATATGTATTGCTTTTACGGGTACCCATGGGCAGGCATTACCGCGGCCTCTATGGGTAGTAAGAAAAGCGACATACTTTGGTTTTACTATTACAGAGTCTACTTACATGTACACACGGATGTACCGTGGCATCCATTTCTACCCGTGCGTACCCGCGTGTACACCCTTTTCTCAAGTCTCTCACCATGGCCTTGACCGTGTGAGCTGCATGGGTCTGCGAAATGTACTTGTAAGTTGTGACAGCTTGAATTATGTCGCATTGTAAATGTATCCTCGTGGTGTTGGCTGTACACTGCATAAATCGCGTCGCGGTTCTTTATTCGACTCTATCAAAGTGCAATGTACGTGACGGCGTAGTCCCGGGCAGCAAGCCAGACGCATCCACAGTCACATCAGCAACGGTGCCCCCCTCGCACTCAACCACCTTTTAAAAAACCTCATCCCTGGCTCGGAGTACTTTCTCCATCACCTCAGTCTTTGGGTGTCTAAACTGAAAAGGTCCGCTTCCGACGCATCACGTTTCTTCTCGCTGTCGACTATCTCCATCCGCAGCTTACGCCCGTTGCTTTCCAAGCACGATGGCGCGCTTTTCATCTTTTCGTGAAACTCTTGGCTCACGAGCTTCATGGTCACAAGGTAGCTGGTCAGAAACATCCCCCGGTTGGTTTCGAGGCCTCACAGCCTCTTCACGGCTAGTGCCGGGCTTGTCCGCCTCGGATAGCTCCTCTTCTGCCTGCTCGGAAGCATCATCGCTCTGTGAGAGAGTGTCGCGCACCGCCATGTCGGCCATGGCGTCGCTGCTAAACAGGCTCTGGTGCGCATCGGAAAGCACCTGTTTACTGCTCCCAATGTAGTCATCCTTATACTGCGCTGCCTTGGAGGACCGTAACGCGGGTGGGATTTCGGCTTCCAGCTGTCTTAGGGTCATGTCGATCCAAGAAAAGTCGGTCATGTCATCGGGTTGTCGTTCCAAGGTGGCGGGGTCAATGTTTTCGAGCCGACTCTGGGCGTCGTTGTGCATTTGGGAGAGTAATTGAAGCTCGTCTCGGGCTTTTGCAGCGTCTTGGAGCAAATTATCCGGAGTGGCGTTCTGATTCTGCTCGCCCTGGCTCATTCTGAGTACGTCAAGGTACAACTGTTTGCCCACGATCGCCCTTTCATCAACCTTCTCATTCTCGCCCGTCACTCGGTTCGCGAAGCGATGGAGACGGCTGTATTGGTGAGTTTTGTGTTCTTCCAACTTGGAGGGGGATTTTGCACGCCTCATCTTTTGGATGTCGCCTGGCTGATCTGGTCTGGGCATGTAAAGTTTGCATGTCAGAAGGTGGGAAATTTTACCCAGTGTCGGACCTCGGCCTTTTGAAATGTTTCATTACTTGGATCCAGTGCCATCTTCTTTGGGCTTTCATCATGTATGAATCCTTTGTTGCCTGCAATGCGCGACGACATCAGGCCTCCTTGACACGGGGGGGCTACACCCCACACAGCAGCACAAAGAGCCAAACGCCAAACACATACTCCGTACATGGCCGCTTAACAAGGCAAACCGTTTGTGACACGGTGCTTTGTCAAACCATTGTTTCTGTCCCGGTCGAGCTGGGCCACGCTGAGATGTATTTTGCCCAGAAGGGACAAGTACACTCGGAAGAGGTTGTGGTGTAATAACAAGTCGTGGAGATTCACGAATGAAACAACGGCTCAAGTAGTCCAAAATTTCCTACGGAGCGACGGATAACTACCCCGCTGAAGTGAGACATCCGTTCATCTTATATGGTATGCAAGATGCGTCCTGCCTGCGAAGAATAGCTTACATCTTTCGCCAGGCCGCTGCAAGCAAAAGGGCTCTTCAAAGAATTGGCCTCGGCCGCCTCGAGCCCTGTTCTCTTCCCATGAGAATTGTTACACGTCCAATATATAGGACTTGACTCACCTGAGTGTGATGGCAATGACTCGTGGCGCAATCATGGCCCTGTCAAATCACAAGCCCCCAACAGACGTAGCTGAGAGCACGCAATGCACCACCATCTTATGCCATGAACATGGCACCAAAATGCCGCCCATCAGCTACACGTAACCTGCTTCGGCAATTCCAAAGCGTCCGCTCGCCATCTGTAAATGACAGCATGGCCGCCATGTCCAAGCTCATCATGTCCCAACCACCATGATGACAACGGAGGAAACCAACAGTGACCAAGCGACAAGAAGCCATGTTGCACGTCCGGGGAAACGTCGCCATCACGGACGACCAGGCAAAAATACTCCAAATTGTCGGGCGGGCTGCCTCTGCGCTCTCGGCTCTGGGTGTCGTGACGATTATCACGGTGTTTTGTGTCGCGCCGCATTTTCGAAACCCCATGCATCGCCTCATCTTCATCAACGCCTTTTACAATGCCTTTGATGTCGCCTGCACCATGATTTCCGTGAGCGGCCCCGCGGCCGGGAACGCCTCAGCATTGTGTAAACTCCAGGCCTTCATCAACCAAATGTGCGTGCCAAGTTGGCAGCCTCACCCGAAAAACTGTCTTCTAAACCCCATGTGACCGGCATTAACGAGTTCCCTTTATAGGTTTCCACTGGCCGATGTGCTTTGGACACTCGTCATGGCGATTGACGTCTTTCTGATTGTGTTTCGTCGGTACGATGGCGAGTCGTTAAAGAGGCTCGAGTGGAAATACATGGCGGTCATTACCTCGGTTACGTTCATCCCTGCTTTCGCCTTCCTCTTCATAGAGACGGAGGAGAAAGGTCCTGTTTATGGAAGCGTAGCTGTTAGTCGCTCTGCCTATAGTGATGCTGATACAATGATGACTGATGCGTCGTCCTTTGACAGATATGGTGCTCGATTTCGCCAAAGTGGGTGCTCTTGCGCATCCTGTTCTATTACATCCCAATATGGCATGTCTTGTCCAGCTTGAAAATTCTCTTCTGTTCCAGGCTAACTGTTGTCCCCCCTTGTCAAGGTCTATGATTCTTATTTCCATGGTCATCTATGTTTTAGTCGGCATCGAGATTGTCAAGCGCAAGGGCGCTTTGCAGTCGTTCAACAGCGATCCTGTTCCGTTGGAAGACAGCATTGCGTCCACCGCAGACACTCCGTATAAGAACTCGGAGAGAAGGGCGACCGAAGAAAATTTCCCATCGCGGCATGGGCACGCCTCTGTGTCACATTCTGGAGAAGAATCGCCCATTCTCCCCCCCAAACCCCGGGGAGCAACCTCCCATACTGTCGACACACCTACTCGCCACTTGTCTATATCATTTAGACAATATATCCTCATGCCAATATTCTTCTTTCTTGCGCTTTTGTCAGTCTGGGTAGCTCCTTCGACGAATCGCGTTGGCGCATTCGTCAACCCCGACTTTTTATCCTATCCGTTGCTGGTCAGTGTTTGTGCAACGGGATCACTCCGTGGCTTCTGGAACGGAGTAATTTTCATCACCTTGGGCATGAAGTCGCAGAGGAGACGAGGTGACTTGGAGAGACGAGCAACGTACCGGCAATAAAAGCACCGCGTAGGTTCGTCATGTGTAAGCGAGGGTGATGGAGTGAATCAAAAATATCCAGGTGCAGGCAATGGGGTATTTATACAGTAATGAAGTCTTTGTACGAATTTTCAAAGTATAACTCTGTGTTCATGGTAAAGCTGTCAGCAGATGCAGCACTTGCTTTGATCGTTGTGCAGAGCCTGTGTGTGTGCCCTTTCAGCATCATGAAGCTCACTTGACCACTCGAGTCTGATACAAGTGTCTGGGATTGGCTGGTGCTTCCATGGCTGGTTGGAAAAGGGCATGGTTCGACGAAGGCCGAAGAAAATTGGTCCTCATAATAGAAATGATAATGACTGCAGCAACGCTATCCAAAAAAAAGCGTGGCCATAAATTGAGGTGGGCGACACAATTGCAGATGAAGGTTCCAAGTTGCGGGCGCAGCTGACGACCAGCGAGTGCCGCCCGCAGAGTTCCGAGAAGCTCCACAAACCAGCTCCATTAACAGGCCCAGCTCCCGTCCGGTCCCAAGTCTCAACCTCCAAATAACGCCCTTCTGCCGATGGCGTCCAAATCAGATTTGCTGCCGCGCAGCACGCGCCGTCTCCTCCGACAAGGACGGCACGTTACTGCATCTCCGTGCCCGATTTGTGCCCGTTCCTCACTGGCAGCTCGCCCTCGCTCTAGCCCTCGGCTGCAAAACAGGTCCCAAGCTGGATGGCCACGGCTCCTGTCGACATCGACGAACCCGCGAACGGAGCTCCAAAACACGCTGCTCGAGCTTCAGAAGCAATCCCCCAATTTAATCAACATATCCAGGCTGCAATTGGCACTCCAGGGCCTGCGACAAGATGCCGGCAATGAGATTATCCGCGTCGCTATTTTAGGTCTCGCCAACGGCACAGAGGCTGATGCCACAGCTGCAAGAGTTTTACACGCATTGCTCGCCGATCCGCTGCAGGAAGTACAGCCTTGGGAGAAGGAGCTGGAGAACCGGGATGGGAGTAAGCCGCTGATTGTGCGGGTTGGCCCACCTCGGAATCATGCCGTGTCGCTCGAGATCGAGAAAGAGGTTGGTCTGGACGAGATGCATATTTCGTGCCCCGAGTTGGACGCGTATAATCTCGAATTCCTTCTGATGGGGGTCGATGTGCCGTATGGCGCGCCGGGCGAGACGACTATTCAAACGCTGGAGGATGCAGTTCTTGTACCAACTGTCGATATCCCGTCTGCAAATGATAGAGTGTCGCCAATTTCGACTCCAGTTCACCAGGCTCTGCTTGTCGCTGATGGGTTGATGGGCGCTGTCAATGTTTCTGCTCTTCCCGTCTCCGAAACAGACGAATCCATATCGGCAGTTGTTCAAATGGAGGGAGTGACAAAGGAACAGCTGCAGGCTAGCTTTGACGTCGTGGACGTATCGCTGGCCGAGAAAGGCCTCGGCTTGTTTCGCCAAGGGCCCCAAAATGCTATGGACTATGAACGCTTGTGGTTCTCAAGCAATGTGCCTACCCTGCTGAAATGGCTCAAGGATGGAGCCAAACCTGGTGCTGCTGATGAGACCAAGCCGGCCGTACGAAGGCTAATTGCGTCAACGTTGCAAAACACATCCTCGCAAATACAGCTTGTCGAGGCTCGAAAACTATCCAAGGCGCTGACGCTGCACAGTGATGATCCAGCTGTGGCAGCTTTGAACAAGCGCCTGACAGACTGGGCACAGAACGCCCACGCCGAGTTACAGGATGAACTAGATCTTGCCTTTAAAGGCCGGCGGTGGCGCAAGTTGGGGTGGTGGAAGTTGTTTTGGCGAGTGGATGATGTTGCCATGCTGACCAACGAAATGCTCGGCCAGCGATTCATGCCCACGGCAGAACAGGAACTGGTTTATCTGACCGGCAGAATCGCTCAGCTAGGCGGCTCCTCGCCAGAGTATCCTCAGCCCAAGTCGTCCCTGGATGCCACAGAGTCTCGAAAGCTCGGCTCTGGCGAACACGCGCCCCCCTTGGCCGCGACATCATCCTACTCCCTCCCAAAGTGGCCTGGCCACATTGCATTCACTCGTCGCTACCTACAAAACGAGACCGTCCCAGCACTGCAGTCACTGGCCCAAAAACTCGTCATCCAATCCCTGGGCACGTCTGGCATAACCACATCTCTGGCTGCCCTCTTGTACATGTCATCGTTTGCATCCACCATTTACGAAGCTGGTGCCGTGGCTGCCCTTGGAATCGTTTACAGCCTAGGAAGACTGCAGAAGAGATGGGATGCCGCAAGGAACTTCTGGGAAGGTGAAGTCCGCGAGGAAGGGCGTAAGGCCGTACGCGGAGCAGAGGAGAGCGTAGCCGTGGTCCTGGAGAGCAACGGAAGCAATGGTACAACCGGGGTTGAAGAAATGAAAAAGTTGCAGAACACAAAAGAGCTAATTGCCAAGGCGGAAGACGCACTGGCTCGAATGAAGTAGTGTATTATACGGCGGGCATAGACATGTATAGTAGCGCATTCCTTATAGAAAGCATCGTCACCACATCCACAGCATCTGTCTCTTACCCTCGACCCTGGGCTCCGCACATGAAGATGAAAGATTTTTCTTTGAATCAATCCTAAACGCCAATCCCCTAGCACTTTTTTATCAAGCATTTGTCCACGCTGCCCTCCTCTCATCAAAGCTGTCGAAGCAAACCGGCCATCGCGGCGCGTGTCTATCGGCGTCCACCAGCTCTAGCCCGACTAACCGTCGCCCTTCCTCTCGCCAGACCAACACCCCTTCCTCTCAAGTTCCTGCTCCTAAACATGGGCGCATTGCGCAACATGTCCGGGACGATGAAGAAGCGCACGTGAGAGCCCCGGATATACACTTGCTCGAGGTGGGAGACGCGACCATCGCGAGCGGTTACCGTAATGTCTTTGAGCTGAACGTTCATGTTGTCCTCGGCTAGCCGAGAAGTTAGTACCAACACACGGCATGTGCGAATATTGCGCGGCAAGGGACCGAGGGGCGGCGTACCATCGAGCAGTTTCCCACGGTAGGTCTGACCGCTGGTGATTTCGAGAGTCACAATGTGGCCCTACACATGCGCGTTAGTTGACAAACAGAGGGTAATGAGAATAATCGCGCCAAACAGACCTGTGCCTCGTTGAGGAGCTTGATGGGGATGCCGATTGTGGACGTCATTTTGGCGTGCCTGCTTCGAATATCACGTCTGGGGTCTTGGAAGCCATCTCAGGATTTCCCGTGGTGGGCTTGTTCTGAATTGGCTTGGCGGGTCATTTATTCATCCGGTCCGCAGTGCGTGGGGCGCCGCTTCTGCTGTGGCGCCAGCTGCCACCAGCCCCCTCTCTCTCGTGGCATTCGTCGATCCTCCAACAACAAACGTGGGTTGGGTTGTAGCTTTGCCACTCAGGCGGCTGCATGACGACGATTTCACGAACCCTTTAGCTTTCAGTACAGAGGACTTTTTTTCGGGAGCGTTGAAAGTTTCCAGATGAGGGGTTGTGGCCTATGACGGGTCTTGGAGCTGCCATTTTGGCCACCCCCGTTGGTGGCTGGTCCAGACTGAGCAAACGGCCACACACTTCACTTTTCTTGCCAATGACACAGCTCGAGGTCAAGAGATGTTGATTTGTGATGAAACGGAGGTAGAGGTTTCATACGAATGCTTTTCATCCTCTGCCCTCGCCATTGGCGGTACAGAGGCCATTGGAGCTGGCTGCTTGATGGCGGCCATCCTTTTTGCAAAAAGACGCCACTATTCCGAGCAACTTTCGCTGCCGACTTTCCGTGATTGCGTATTGTAATGGCCTGACACTGAGGAATTGGTCCAACTGGGCAGGTATAAATTGCCATGATGCCAGTCTTATCATGTCAAGGTCTATCCAATCTGCCCTCGTTGTTGTTCAACGCAGCTATCCAGCTTCAATATAGCATTATTTCCCCACCCCCAACGTCCATCATGTCTCAGTCAGGAGTTACCATTTCAAAAGGCGGAGCACCATTCACTGTGGTCAAGGACTTGTCCCGTTCCAGCCCGAGCGCCAAACAGGCCCTTGTGAAGTCGGCCTATGTTTCACTCAACCCGGTGTAAGTGATGCTCCTTTGAAGCTCTGCCTGCCACGTATATTCTATCACATGACACTATTTCTGATGCCTGGAGTAAACAAATAGTGATACCATAATGCAAAAGTATGGCATACTCATCCATGATTGGCCTGCCGTCATCGGCTCCGACTTTTGCGCTCAAGTCATCGAGACCGGTCCAGAGTGCACGAAGCTCAAGAAGGGCGATTATGTATATGGCGTATGCCGGATTGGGCAGAAGGCCTATTCTCCGTTTCAGGAGACGTTCTTGGTCGATGAGGACTTGGTCTTCAAGGTAGAGGGGGCGCTGACGCCCGCCCAGGCTTCTACCATTGCTGTCGGAACAATCGTAAGTCTTATATGTGACTTGTAGACGCGATTCGGGAAGCTGATCGAGATCTAGACATCTGCGTTTGGCATCATTGTCGGAGCCAAGGTCCCCCTGCCGGCACCAGGGGCAAAGGCTCCAGAGAGGGATGAGTGGATTATTGTTCTGGGTGGGAGCGGCACTGTTGGGCATTATGCTATTCAGGTGCGCCGATTCCGGGGCTGGTGTTCTGAATGCCTCTAATTCGTGTAGATTGGCCGCTTGTGCGGATACAAGGTCGCTGCATCATGCTCCGCCTCTAACAAATCGGTAAGCATACCCGTCTAAAAAAACAAGCTCGAATCCGTGAATGCCGACTACAACTATCTAGGTTGCCATGGGCTTCGGCGCCCAAGCCACCATCAACAACCGCGCAACCCCCGAGGAGCAAGCTGCCGAAGTCAAGTCCATCACTGGAGGGAAATACTCCATCGTCTTTGACGCCAGCGGTCTCTCTCACGAGGCCGCGGCCAAGATGCTGGAAGCAACTACCGCCAGCCCAAAGTACTATACCACGGTTGAATCGTAAGCGCCACCTGTTTTCCTTGGACCTTGCGAGCAACTCTGACGCAGGATAGAAACCAACACGACATGCCGGCTGGTGTTACCTCGTACTACGTTCTCATCGCCAAACTAGGCCAAGATGATGAGCTGGGTAAACAGGTTAACGAGGGGACGAAGAAGATGATACCGTCGCTCCAGGCACACGTTGTCGGCGGCGCGCTTACTCCTTTGGAGCCTGAAGTCTATAGTGGAACTGGGTTTGAGAGCCTGGTCAAGGCCCTGGGTGACTTTGGTGAGGGCAAGACCAAGGGCAAGGTTGTGGTTCGCTTGCAGGAGGAATAATAACTGGTAAAATAGTCTCGCCAATCAGTAGTTTTTCAACACGTGACAGAATTGTTTCTAATTATATCATGTCTCATTCGTGATGGCTGCTTACCCAAACCGAAAGGCGCAGCCATGACTCATAGTACGGCTGCGTTTGTACCGGGCGGAAACATCACCACTGGAAACAAAAAATATCATTCGCTTGAAAATTGACAATATGGATTTATTCTACATGTTTCTGCAGACTGCGGCCTTTGTGTCGGTTTGGACGCTGGTCCATCGCCATGTGGCGAGCCATGGACCCGTTGCTGTGGCTCGAAAGGCAGTCATGCTCAACAGCTGGTTCTACTCGCTGGCCTCGGCAGTCCTGCTTGGCCTCATGTTCGTGCCGCAATACGAACATGCAGCAAGGAGGATTTATCACTTGTCCAAGTTTTACGAGTACGTCGATGTCCTTGGTGTTCGAGCTGGTGGCGGCGAGATCGAGCTGCACTTTGCAGTGCACCACCTCACCACGCCGTATTTGACCTACGTGCGTGTGCTGTACTACAGCGAGGGATGGAAAGCTGTCGCTGCCCCAAACGCGCTCCACCACGTACTCATGTACGCGTATTTTGGTGGAGTTGGAGCTCTTCGATCCGTGTTGCCCGTCACTGGGACGATTCAGTTGCTGCTGGGATTGGGGGGAGAGGCTTGGCTTCTATGGAAGAAGAGGGTCGATGGTGAACAGCCCTTGTGGCCGCATGAATTCGCCGTGTCTCTTTTTGGCATCTATTTCGTTCTGTGGCTTAGGGAGCTTCGACAAAAGGCAAGCATCAAAGGCAAAGTTGCCAAGTTCAAGTCGGCATAGGCCTGCCACTGGCCCAGGCATACATATTTTCCTTGGCTGCATTGAAAATAGTATCAAGCTGTCTGGGTATCATTTGTTCTTGTCCTTTTTTGCTTCTTTCCAGCCATCATTTCCCTCTTCTCTTGTTTCCGGGCCTGCTTGTCCAAGTTGCCAATCGTTTTGGATTCGCCTCCGCAGGGCCATTTTGCAAGGGCTGCCTCTTCTGCAGCTTCATCCCACTCACGGGGTAGAATAGCAAATACCAGATACGAGGTGTGAGTCTTGAGATCATTTTCTGTGCGGTGGACAAGCCTGCCTTGAAGCCATAGCGGATCTTCGTTTTTATTTGAGTCTCCAGTGTTGGATTCGGGGGTGGATTCATCGACATCCATTTTGGACTCTGAAGTATCAGAAACTGGCTGCGATGTTTGGGCTTTGTGGAAGTCTTGGGTCCGCTTTAGATCGCTCTTGAGCTTCTTAACAGCCTCTGCAACATCAGCAGGCTGAGCACTGAAGCCTTTCTCACTGGGAATATTAACCCCAGCACGATCTCGAATGACGTTGAACCTGCGGTGCGCAATTTCAACCATGTCAATGTCAGTCCAGCCCAGTGTTCGCAGTTCTGTGACAGTGCGCGTCACTTGCTCAATACACGGAGAGAAGGTGCAAATATATGCGCTTTTGTTTGGATCAAGTGGTGAGTCCCAATCGCCAGGATTCTCATCCAGCTTGCCCCCCTTCAGCGTCTTGCGCCGCGCCAGGTGATGCAGGGCTTCCCACGGAGCTGGCAAATCCAGAAAGACGGCACTGGCCTTAGGGGACTTGCCATTGATCAAAAAACCTTCATCGTATACATCTCTATGCGTCACTTGGACAATCCCTTGGAGCGAATGCTGCTTGATTTCGGCATCCATCTTTTCAAACCGAGGCTCGTGGAACTCAAAACTGAATACCTTGCCCCTGGCATCTGCATCCGACCCTGGGTAACCACTGTAAACCGCGCGCGCTGAGGCGTGTGTAAAACTTCCACTACCAGCTCCCGCTTCGATAATTCTGGTACCCGGTCGAGCCCTGATTCTCTGCAGGACATAGCTGTAATCGGGAGTGTAAACAACTTGCGTCCTATGGGGTAAACTGCTCGTCCACAACTCTGGCGTCGGCCTGAGGACGTAAATGAAACCACTGGATGCTGCAATGGCCTTTTTTGCAGGCGCCGAGGTCGGTGTGTCATTGCCGTCATCCTGGTTGGAGGTGGGTGTTTCTTCGTCTTCAACTTGGTCTCGCCGGCGCTTGCGACCACGGGATCCTGTGTCGACTACGGAGGCTCGGACTTGTGAGCCCCAAGGAATGTCCAGTAATGTGGAGTGCGGAAATGAGCCAAATCTTGTGTTGAGAGTGACGCCTTCTGCATATCCGTCCACAGCGCCAATGGATTCCTGCAGAGTGATGGGCTGGTAGTGTTCTTTCGAGAGGCTGATGATTGCGAGGGTATTTGGGGCTGTTCTAGACGTGGGCTCGAGAAAAGGCGACGGCCGAGCACCGGCAGATGTATCCATGGCGAGGTTGGGCTAGCTGTAGGCTCGTCAATGCCAGTATTGGCAAGTTGGAGAAATTAAAGCTGCCAGTCAATTGCAAGGTTGGATGGGCAAAATATTTTGCTAGAATTCCACAATAGACTTTGCATGAAGCGGAGCATTGAATGTTGGGTGGCCCCACCAGGCCAAGGCCAGGCTTTGATGCGAGAGACCAGGCCCAGGCTCAGGCTTGATTCAGTGTTGAGCGGCGGCCAGTTGGGCAGACTACTTAAGTAGGTAATCAGTCAATACATGTGGCAGTTCAAGGTTAAATTTACAATAACCAGGTGACATTTTTTCAATTTGGCTGGTCTGTTTTTTAGTGAACGGGCTGTGGCATTAAACATGAATTGATTGAAGTCCAGAGCATGGAGGCACTTCCTGGCAGCTAGCCTCATGCGACGACATATGAAAAAGGAGGGGCACGACAGCTTTGTCGGAGCTGCATGGCAAATCTGCCAAAGTGGCATTTCCTTTGCGTGACTCAAGCTCGACGCTGGCCACCACCACGACTGCGATTACGTGCGCTCCCTCACCACCCGCGGCCGGCGACGACTCATCGAGTAGCAACCAGCATTGGCCATGACCTTGCCGTGTCCAGTGTCTCTCGCTACTTAATCCTCACCGGACCCGCCAGTCTGAATGCATCGTTTGCCCGTCGCACACCGTCCGAGATTCGTTCCAGTCGTCACTACTCCCAAGAGCTTCTTCCTTTTATCTATTCGAAGATATAACACCGCCATCATGAACTCGATAAAAGTCCACAACTCACTCAAGCCAGGCCCTCCCGTGCCGTTCGTGCCTATGGAGCCTGGCAAAGTCTCCTGGTATGCGTGCGGTCCTACCGTGTACGACAAGAGCCATCTTGGTCATGCCCGAAACTACGTGACCAGTGATATTATTCGACGCATCATGATGCATTATTTTGGCTTTAATGTCAAGTATGTAATGAACATGACAGACGTTGACGATAAGGTGCGAACCCCGCTACACATGCATCATGGCTGCCACGCTGACCTTCCTAGATCATCATCAAGGCTAGGAGACAGCGACTTTTAGACCTCGAGAAGAAGAAGAAATACTCCGAAGAGGAACTCAGGACTCTCGGCCTTGCCGCCTTCCGAGCCTACGCGTCGAAAAATCTGCCTCTCCTTGCCAACGACGCATCCAAACTGGACGAGACCAACTACGCCACTCAGCGGGATACAGCCTACGGCACAGTGCTCTCTGGAGGCACTCTCACTGGTGAGGGAAAGCCCGGGGATAACGAGGCAAAGATCAAGATGCATGTCAGCAACATGGATGCCGCTGCTGAAGCTCTGAAGCAAAATGCCATCTTCCCCGGCGCAGACGAAGTCCTCCTACCTTACCTTGACTCTTTGCACAAGGAGACAATGGATACTAGCGACCAATCTATATTTACCGATCTTACAAAGAGGATGGAGGCCGTCTTTTTGGAAGATATGGACAATCTAAATGTTCTGCGACCCGACGTCATTACCCGTGTCACCGAGTACGTGCCTCAGATAGCCAAGTTTGTGGAACAAATCGTCGACAAGGGCTTTGCATACGAAGCCGAAGGCTCGGTTTATTTCGACATTGCAGCCTTCCAGAAAGCCGGCAACACCTATGCTCGTCTGAGACCGGATAGCAAAAACAACAAGGCCCTTCAGGAGGAGGGTGAGGGTTCCTTGTCGACGAATCTCGGCGGAAAGCGTGGCGCCGGCGACTTTGCTCTGTGGAAGAAGTCCAAAGCTGGTGAGCCCTACTGGCCCAGCAAATGGGGTGATGGCAGACCAGGCTGGCACATTGAATGCTCCGTCATGGCCTCTGATGTACTCGGATCTCGCATGGATGTTCACTCTGGCGGCGTGGACTTGGCTTTCCCTCACCATGACAACGAGCTGGCGCAGAGCGAGGCATACTTTTGCCAGCACGGCAAGGGTGAGCACACCTGGGTCAACTATTTCCTTCACATGGGTCACTTGTCAATTTCAGGATCAAAAATGTCCAAGTCCCTCAAGAACTTCCAGACCATTGCAGACGCACTCGCCACCACCTACACCGCCAGGAGCATGCGAATTGTCTTCCTGATGGGTAGGTGGAACGACGGTGTCGAAATTTCTCCAGACATGCGGTCTACAGCCGATAACTGGGAGACAACCATTAGTGTACGTTTTATTTACCCTTGCACAGCAACCTCGTATTAACGTGTTGGTAGAATTTCTTCACAAATACCAAATCTTGGATCAGGGAGGCTGGTGTCGGTGGTGGCGTTAGGAGCCTCTCCATTAATCAAGACACGCCAGCTACTGGTCTCCTTGCCGATCTGGAACTGGCCAAGAAGGAGGTCGAGGCCGCACTGACCAACTCTTTTGATACCCCTCGAGCCATGCTCGCTCTTCTCAAGTTGGTCAACAATGTCAATACCTTCGTCATGAATAACAAGGACGTGGATCTCGCCCACGTTGAGGCCATTGCGCGCTGGATCACCAAAATGGTGGGCATCTTTGGGCTGGACCCCAACGCCATCCCTCCCTACGACGGTCTTGGTTGGGCATCTTCTATTGCCGCCGATATTGACCCCAAGAAGGCTATCCAGCCTTATGTTCAAGTTCTCCAGACTGTGATGACCGAGGTGTCCAAGCTCTCCCTCTCCAGCGACACGCTTTCCAATCTCTTATCCCAGGACCCTTCCAAGGAGTTTGAGTCAATTGTCTCCAGCGGCACTCGCGACATTGAAGAACTATCTCTCCCTTACATCCGGGTCGTCTCCCAGATACGTGACGAACTTCGCCGCATTGTGTCGTCTCAAACCGCAGAGAACAAAAAGGCCATTCTCGCTATTGCCGACCGCATCCGTGACGTAGACCTGACCAATCTCGGCGTCTCCCTCGACGATCGTCCGGATAACCAGCCGTCACTCATCAAATTCATCCCTGCTGCAGAACTCATCCGCGCGAGGGAAGAGAAGGCGGCGCGTGAAGCCGAAAAGGCCCAGAAAAAAGAAGAGGCAAGGATTGCACGAGAAAAGGCGGAGCAAGAGGCCAAAGAAAAGGCCAAGATTCCTCCTGAAGAAATGTTCAAAAAGGATGAGCGGTACAGCGCTTGGGATGAGAGCGGTATGCCAACCAAGATGAAGGATGGTAGTGATGTGCCCAAGAGTCAACTGAAGTCTTTGAAGAAGATGTGGGAAAAGCAGAAGAAAGTTCATGAGGAGTTCAAGGCCAAGGGAGGCTTGTAGGTGCTTGATATAGACCAATAAAAGGAATCCTGCTATTACCAATACTTATAAGATGATGGCTTCTGCGATGATAAAGACTGTATCTGGGACAATTTGGATCGGCCTCGGCAATGGAGTAACACTAGAATCCTCCATTGGGGTGGATTAGCACTTTGGTGTACCCTTCCAGTCTCTTGTCAAACCTGTCACAGGCAATCTCCACGTCATCCAAGGTGATTTCGTGTGACACGGCAAAGCTCGGCTTCGCTTTCCCTGCTATGATGAGGTCCCGGAGATACCTATTGTAGGCCTTGACATTACACTGCCCGGTTGCAAGTCTGAGGCCCTGTCACTGATTCAGACGAGGGACTCTGACAACGAGGTCTAGCAAGGCGCAACTCACCTTTTCAAAAAGCTTTCCAAAACTCAAGCTAATACTGCCCTTTGCGGCCGCAGTGTCAGGGGCGCCGGGATCACTACCAGACTCGAATAAGCACTTGCTGAACGGGTGGGAAACGGGGAATTTCACCTCGGGACATAGAGTCCGGGAATTCCCAGTCCACCGCACGGCCTCGTCACCCGAATCATGTTCTCCAGAACGACATTTGGCTGCTCCGAGGAGCCCCTGCTGTCTATGACCTGAGCGTCTATGGATCGATCTACCATGCCGTTACTCACCTTGATGATTTGCTCCACGGCGTCACATTCAGTGAAGTCGACGGAGATGCAGCCCATGGCTTCCGCGGCCCGCAATCGCTCGGGGACTCGGTCAACGACAAATACCCTCGCCGCTCCAGGCAAAACAGCCGAGTGTCCAGCCATCAGGCCGACGGGGCCAGCGCCAAAGACGGCGAGGCTTTCCCCGGGAGCAAAGCTCGACAGTTCGACGCCGTGCCACTCTGCTGGAATGTGAGCACCAAGCGGCCAAGGTTCGCCTCGGAAGACGCACCTGTCGGAAAGATGTCTACGAGGACGAACCGTATGCGCCGCCGGTGCAGAAAGCAGTCTTGCCCTCTTCGCAGTTGCGGCAGCGGCCGTCGGCGACGTTGAACGGGACCACGACTCTGTCGCCCCTGGTGAGCAGCGTCACCCCCGAGCCGACTTCTTCCACGATGCCCATGTTTTCATGTCCTGCGTCATAGGGTTGCCGGCCGGGTTGACGGCGCGCGCATACCAAATGTGATGCCGTGCTTGGCGGCGGTTCTGCCCTCGTACATGCTGCGCCGATGTGAGTTGTTGCGACTCTGCCAGGGGATAGGCAAAAAAGGAAGTCAAGACTACCACTGATAAACGGCCAAATGACGAAGTTGAGGCCGCTAGAACATGGGTTACTTCAAGCGTGGGCTGGTAAAATGCGATTGAGCTAGGGCAAGGATTTATTTTTTATGATTGCGTATTGATTTAAAATGGATCATGTTGATTAAGGAGGGAATTAAGACGTTTATTTGTTTTTTAGAAGTTTAGATAACAAGGCCATCATCTCCTTCCTTTAAACAGGGGGATGTCAGGACCTATAATCACGTGTCAGGCACTATGACTTTACTGCTACGCTTGTACGCTTTAACTTCCTTTTTCCTTCCTTAACACACACGAAAAAGTCTTTTTTTTATTACCTTTATTGCAATACATACTTGGCATTTACTCCCCCGAGCTCTTGTTACGTTGCTCGTCGATCTCTTCCGCGGTCCCTCCCATCTTACCACGACTCAGGAATCCATATTCTCCCAGCATCGCAGGACACACTCACGCCAGTTGTTTGGAAATCTTTACCATTCAATACTAGCCATCATTGGGCCTCCCCGCAGCTAGAACGCCATGTACGCATACGGTGGTTACATTTATTTCGGGGCTGTTTGCCCGCTGTCGGACCGTGACCACGACAAAGAGAGCAACCTGTACAGAACGAACTGGGCGATTCATATGTTTGACGAGGCATACAACCGCTGGTGTTTTTGGAAGTTTCGTCGGGTTGGCCAAGACATCTTTACCTACGGCGAGGAGTGGATTGCCGACGCACCCAAGATCGCAGGACCAGCCGCATCCATTTTGTTTGGAAAAGTCCGCCGCGACAAGTTGTGGGCAGCCCTGTACTATATGAGAAGGGTGGTTCCATGGGATTTCAGGAACAATTTCCATGTTATGCAGTATTTGATTTACATCTGCAAGCGACTGGTGTGGGTTTTTGAGGATGTGGAGTTTGGCGAGGAGATCCGTTGGTTCGAGGTTGAGAAGGTGGTGGAAGTTGCAATCAGTTCAATCAAGGTGTATCGAGAGCTGGATCCTACTCCGTTATGCCGCGCATGTTTGATTGGAAAGAGGAGTGTGCTGGATATTGTCAGGAGGAGATGATGCCGTGCTCTAGTGCCGACCAACACGACGTGTGCTAGATTGCTCAGCATGAGAGCGCCTTCTTCTTCTGTTTATTATCATTCAGCGGCATCATTTTTTATATCAACGACCTTAGATAGTGCGTAAAGATGCAAAATATATCAAGCATTAGCGGTTTACATGTACAAAAGAGGCGCCTGTTGTGAAGTCTCTTACACGTATTAAAGTGACTGGCATCAAGTATGCGTAAAATACCGGGCTACATGATCCAATCTGTTGATGATATAGAGATATTACATTGCACAACCGATGTCATGATACCAGCTACCTCTTTTCGGGCTCCAGGCTTATAGAAAAACCAAAAATCGCTCGACGCAAGTGGACCTGCGCGAGATCTTGATAGAACCCGTCGCGTGGCGTGAAGATTAAAGCTGCGGTGTTCCGAAGCAGATGGGCTCATGTAAAAGTTCTAGGCCGAGGGAAAGTGATGGGCAAACCCTTTATAGCCTACCACAGACGGCGGAATCCCATCACTGGGGTTGCATTGCAACATTCAACTCGCATGCGAAACGGCCAAGACTAGGCTGCCTGACTCCAGGGTTAGGTTTGATCAAACAAAGGCTGTGCCTGGTGATTGCTGGTCGTGGCGATATCTGAGATGCTGTCTGTGAGGATATATCTAAGTCGGAATCATACACGCCATGCGTGAGTTGCTTCCATCGAATGACGCCGCCGACCAAGACGCCTTAGTAAATCGATGGACCGGCTTTTGGGTTTACAAGCACCGTGTAAATTTCTGTCAAGGTTCTCTTGTACGGCAATCCACGCCTGAGCTGACCGCGCTCTAATCGTGGCCAAAGCAACACAATAACCTGTAGCTGCTGATGAAATGCAAAGAACAGCGACCAATGCGAATTTGATTTCATCCTCGTGTGCGCACATCCGCAGGCTTATGCAACCCCTTTTCCGCCAATCCCAGAATAGTCCGGGCTGCGGGTCAAGACGATGTACAAAATCGTCCAGAACGGGTTTCTGCCTAGACATTGGAAGCTTCTCAATCTGTCCTGGCATCAGAGTCTTGGATCCCTCACTATCAATAACCCAGCTATAGTCCGTATTACAACGAGGTAAAAAGTAGTACAGCAAGGAGGCATTGTAGTGTTTTGAAAAGTCTTGACGAAACTCTGGACAATTATTGAGGAAGAATTCTGTGTCATGAGTAATGGCATCATGTCAAACTTTGCCGCGAATATCTTGAAATCCCTAGGATTGCCTATTATTTCTGATGGCATGTTGTGATGCCCACAGAATGGATAATTTCGGTCCATGTTACCACACCGCAATAGTCGTAATTCAGTTTCTGTATAATCGTTGTTCATCGAATTATATAAAATAGAGCCTCTATCGAGAAATAATTATGCCAAACGAGGATATCGACGACCTAGTATCACAAGAAGCTGTCTGGCCTCATTCTTACTACCACTGACATTTCATTCCCGCTTTTTTAAGCCAAAAAAAAAGTCAAATTGATAAAACATGGCTTTTTATTACATTTATAGCCGATATACGGCAATAAATTACCGCCAAGGTGTATTTGACTAGTAATTGCCAAGCGTGCGCCCGGTCCAAGACGGCTAAACCTACTTAATGTGGATTAAGAAGCCAACGTTCATCAATCCGTGATATGGAAACTGACCCACTTCCGATGTGGTGTAGTGGCTATCATACTGCGCTTTCAAGGCCTCTTGGAAGCTCCGCAGGGATCGGGGTTCGATTCCCCGCATCGGAGATGCTTTTTTGTTCCCTTTGGTACTGGAAGGAACTTCATGACGTGTAGTAATTTTTTTTTTTTTTGGCAAATATTTGTAACGTTGGCTGGTTTCTTCCCACTTGGCATACATTCCGTCAAGCGTCGTCTAAAAGCGACGTGGCATGCTTGCCATATTTAGGTAATAGTTCTTTCATTCCACCATGGCCACGGGTATAAGCCATCATCTTGCGCACATGATTCAACGACGTAACCAAAATGGCGTATAATTTTTGTGCGATATTTACCTCTGAGTCTAGTTTCCGCCCCATTTGGCAATAGCAAGATGCTCCCAGTAATCTGCAAGCTCGGACCAAGATGAAGAAATCGTCCAATTTTGTATCATCCACCGAAATCGGCTGTCCTACTCACCATCAGGAGATTTTCACTAAAACACCTGGTCTACGGGAGAAAGACCCATGACTTACAGTTAGGCCACTAGATGTCGGTCCTTTCGGGCTTACTCATGATAAGACTGGGGGGAAACTTGAGCCCATGAGAGATACGGTGTGGTGAGTCTGTGACCTTCCTAATCCAGCTCCCCTCCCCGGACGCCAGAACCGTCTCATTTAGTGCCTGTCCAGCCTTTTGGTGACACCTGATGGATCTTGTGGGTGGGTGTTTTGTTCAGGATGAGACGCCTCGTTTGCGATACTTGGGCAGTTTCGGCACCGGGGAGCCGGCCGCATTCCTAAACTGTACGTGCCGTCAATGAGAACCAAATAAACAACAAAGCATGGCTGAGAAAATTAATTCCGTGAATGAGACTGGAAAGGTTCCTGTTAATTCGTCGGATCAATTGTGAGTTTCGGACGTTTCGTAAGGATATGGCCACTCTGACTAATGCTGCTCAGTTGGTTGGGCGTCGGGAGCGCGGGAAAGTGAATTTTCCCTACAATTTGTTACAATACATGAGTATTTCCAGTAGAGTTGATATAGCTTGTCAGGGTATCGGCTGTGCGGCACTCTCACTCAGTAGCTACGAAGCCCTAACAGCATCGCGACTTTCCTGTAAAGGTTAGGATCTTCAGCCATACGCACCAAGGAACAATCGCCTATCGTTGTATTACCCGAGGACCCTGGGCCGAAACGTGCCGCCTACCCGGATGCGATGAGTCTTTAGGAGCTCTGAGGCTTATACAATTACTTCTCATGAGGTTGCCTCACATTTGCTCAACGTTGCCTGGGTCGTTTGCCGCGCATGGAACAGTACGTGTTTTCGGACACGAGCGAATTTTAGGAAGGTGTCAGATTTTTCATACTTGAGAGAAACTTTCAAACCGTCTGTAACTTTCCTAATTTGTCTAAATTTCATCCGTCTCTTTCGTTTGAACCCCTTCACCTTCGATAAAAAGACTAGCTACAAGACTGGTAGGCAACAGCGCGTGATGTAGGACGGCATTCTGTTTTTCGGCTTCACTGTGGAGGATAGTATGACGGATGGCATTGACAACATGCTACTATCTATTTTATGATACCACGGTACAATCCTTGAAAATGACATGTATAAGAATGGTCATTGCTCCAACAACACCCTGCGATTCTTGCCGTTCCTCCTCTCCATTCGCATTCTTGGACCAACAACTTGATAAAATCTGGGCACACGATCCACTACCGTCGTTTCTTCAGCCAGAACAATGAAGTACACAACTGTTTTCGCTCTTCTTGCCGCCTCCGCCGCCGCTCTCCCAGGCAGGCCTCTAAAGAACAATCGGGGCTCGACGAAACGTGCTCTCGGCCACCAGTCTGTCCCCAATCAGAGGAATACCACGCACCCCCAGTACTCTGGTAACTGGGCCGGCGCCGTCCAGAGCGGGCAGAGCTTCACACACGTCGAAGGCGTCATCACCGTGCCCCAAGTGAGTGGTGCCGAGGGAGCTGCCGCCTCCGCGTGGGTTGGCATCGACGGCGACGCTTGCCAGCAGGCTCTCCTCCAGACGGGCGTCTCCTTCTACGCCAACGGCGCCTTCGACGCCTGGTACGAGTGGATTCCCGACGCTTCCTCCGACTTTGACGACTTCCAGCTGAGCGTGGGCGACCAAATCAAGATGGTTATCGATGCCACGGGCGTGACTACCGGAGTTGCTACTCTGGAGAATTTGACGACTGGCCAGAAGGTCACGCACACGTACGACAGCAGCCCCTCGAGCCTTTGCCAGAATAGCGCCGAATGGATCGTCGAGGCCTTTATGGAGGGAGGCTCGCAGGTTGTCTTGGCCGATTTCGGACAAGTGACCTTCACGGGCGCCTCTGCTACCGACTCTGATGGAACGGTTGATGGTACTGATGCTACAATTGTAAACATGCAGGATCAGACTGGAAATACTGTCACTGATTGTGCTGCTAGTGGCAGCCGCGTCTCTTGCACTTATACTGGCAACTGACGGCCTTGATCAATAGAAAACCGGTGAGCTATGAGAGTGGAAGCGATTTGTTGGTGCAGCAAAGAAGGTCACGTATATATTGTTTGTGATGTTGATGCCATTGTATTTAGAATCTAGCTACACATGATAGATCTTTTATTGGCCTTGTGATTGTACAAATTTGTGATGAATGTTGCTGTGAATTTTAGACAGTAAACCTCGGATAATGGTTTCGCGGAGCCATGGTCACACTCTCGGGAATTGCATCTTGACATTTTGGATGCTACTGTTCTTGTTGGTCAAGTCGCCAAACGTTAGTGGAAAAGTGTGACTACAGCCTTGCTTAGGTTCGTTGTCAACAAGAAGAAAGCTTTGAATACTGAGCAGTTTGGAACTACTTGAATATGTTGACGTTCATGTAGCCATATAAACTTGATGGGACATTGGAACGACTTGGCTCAAGTTGGAATAAAAGTCTATAAAAACGGTATAAAACACTGCACAAGATATAGTTTATATTTACGACTCCATGAGTCATTTCTCGACTAATAAACGAGGTAAGCACTCGCAAATACCTATACTGCTTGTTGTAACTTATCTACCTGCCCTTGCGCCTACAAATAACGAATCTTTGACCGCGGTAATACTCACGCTCAGATTGTTACACGGAAAAGGCCCAACAGATCGTAAAGCCCAATAAAGGGGCTTTACTGATACAGGACTTATTAGTTACACAGCCAGAATACGTGCCCAGGCAAGAACCCTAGGCCTAGGCGTTCCTTTTATATATATAAGGCGGTTACCCTTCTCTTCCTTTCTTGTAGTAACTCAGGACCTTTGACATCCTACGAGATTATTATTGAATTGAGCTCTTTCCGCTCCAAGCCTTCACATTGAACCCTTGTCACACAGATTCTGTTGCAGAACAACGAAAGCTTTCGGCACAACATCCCTTGGTAAGATGAAGTGGTGAATTTTGCCTTGTACGACTTGTTTCGAGATGACAGACAAGCAATAAGCTGCATGCCACCCCCACGTCGTATCGAGACATGCAGCGCATCCGAGCAATTCCAATACCACAAATCCGAGTAGCAAGGAAACGGCATACTGAGCAAGCAGAGTGGGATCACGGGGCTGACAGGATGCGAATGAGAAACCGAGATGAGTCGAATCACAGGTCTCCGCCCCCAAGGGTACACAAACCTCGCTCATAACCGCCTTCGGTCAGGAGAAGGGTCAATATGTCTTTGGGCCTAACAAGGCCCGTTTTCTGGCCTACGGAACACGCGTAGGATATCAATACGTGAATGAGGGGCGACAAGTATGCGGCACAGTGCTGCGTACTTCGTACTTGTGAGCAACATTAAGATCCTAAACAAGTGAGAGCCGGCCTTGTGACTCGATCCGGTTGACCGATTCAATTCGCAGTGTGATTCGCTGCACACACCGCAGCTTGGGTTTCAGATGCTAGCGAGCTCCGAGGCAACAGCCGCAGAATCATGCATAGGGATAAAGAGGACCAAGAATGAATGATGCAGTCATGAGCAGAATATTAGCCAAGAATGCGCGGTGCTTGGATGAAGAAAACTCCAGGGCATGACGAGATTGGACAGGAGAGAATGGTTTCCCTACCAGCAATAGCACGTACAAGCTTTGTTCGGGCCCCGCCTTGACCTACGGTTGCTAGTAGTATATATATTACATCAACGACAATCCAGGCAAGGCCGGGTTCCGCAAATTAGGGTCAATCCTAGGCCAACTGAAGAAGAGCGGATGCCCTTCCTTTTTGGGGAGGCTTCCTGATCGAATCCCCTTGGTGGCATCAGTTTTTTTTTAGCTTTTCTTTTTACTTATTTTTAACGAAACCGAACCTCTGTGCATTTACTGGGCAGCATGTAGAAGCTCTCTGCGAACCATCTCCTCGACAGTAAAAGAAACAGTTAATTCGAAACGGGCACACGAGATAAACTTCTATGCCAGTCCAAGTATTAACTCCTCACGGCATCACAGCATAAAACGCAAAGCGAGGCCTGATTCCCAACTGCACTGGTATATTCATCATCATCATCATCATGACTTAGATAAGCTCTACAGATCTATCATCTCGGTAGTCGGACTTTTTAGCGTTTTCCTCCATCTTAGCCAACCGCAACTGTCTCAGCTTCTGTTCTCTACGACGGTACAAGAACAGACCAGCAGCTGCTATGGCGCAAGCGCCGAGAATGGAACCGACAATGACGCCGGCCAGGGCGCCGCCCTTGAGGCCAGATCCCCCGCTGCTCGCGGTGGTGGGCGTCTTGGAGTCACCGGCGGGCTTGTCCTTTTCAGCGGCAAACTTCTTGTCGTCCTCACCCGGCTCCGTGGCGTTGAAGCAAGGGATACGCAGCTTGAAGTCGGCCTGGTTGACGTAGGTGATGTCGGCACAGGCGTAGAATGTCTGGTTGTGGGGGGCGTCCCAGTCGGCCTTGTAGATGATCTGGAGAGTCGCGTTGGTACCTGCGGTAACCCGGGAAGGGGCATCAGGAACCGATACGCAGGTGTGGCCAGGGTTTAGATCGCTAATGTCAATGGTCTCGAGGAGAACACTGAAGTCGGTGTTTGTCTGGGGATCTGTGCCACATTAATGTCTTGGTCTCCCACACGACTCGGCAGGGGGAAGCGTCTTCCGAGCCCTGCCGGGAAAGAAATTCACCCACCTTCCTTGTATGAGATACTGATCTTGCTGTTGTAGTAATCATCCTGGGCAACGAGGGCGACGGCACCTCCGGCTGGGAGACGAGTCAGCATTGTTCAACGGAAATCGTACAGGCCCCAGATACCATCAACCGATGGAGGAACAAGAAAAGCAAGCACAACTTGTCAGGGGCTGTGGCAGGACGTACTGATGGGGAATTTCGTCCTGTTTCCGGCGGCGGCACGCGAGCCGCACGGCGCCTGGTTGTCCATGTCGCCCGACCACACTCTGTCAGGCGGCCACATAAAGGCAGCAGGGCCCATGTAGTTGTCCGTCACACTGGCAGTTGACGGGTTGCTGGGCTGCGGCTCGCTCTGGGCACTGATGGCCGAGGCCAGAGCCAGGCCGGCTCCCACGGCAATCCTGGTCAAGTGCATCTTGTCACGAGTGGCCAATACTGGCGGGCTAAAAGGGAAGGGAAATCGTGTGTCAGAGCGAGGACCTTCAAAGGCTCGAAAGACAGAGAAAGGCACAAGTTGGGGATTCTCGGCCACCTTATGTACGCACGTAATTATACGACCAGACGCAGCAACGGCGGCACAGAATTTTCGCCACAGCGGACCGCGCGGGCTTGGTATGACTTGCTCGGAACTAAGCATCATGTCCGACGAAAAACCGCCCGCGTGATGGCATGCCATGGGATGGAAAAACTCGTTTACGCTGCGAGTGGGTGGGAGGAGCCACCGGGACGGGACAGTCATGAGGCATTAATCCTGTCATATGACTGTCGATGCAGGTCCGGACCCGTTAGATCGAACTGATGGATCAGATAAGATGCTGCACATGTCATCCGTCCCATTTGGTTCTGTCGTGGCGTGAGACTTAACATTAAAGTTGGTGGCAAGAATTCCGGTTTATTTGCTTGGCAGACCGGGATAAAGTGGGGCTTCAACGGTGAGTGTGAGCTGATACATGCCGGCCGTCGGATCAGATAAGATCCTGCTACTTTGTTGGCCGCGCCATTTTGCCTTGGGTGCGCAAGTACCCCAAGTCTGTCAAAATATTGGCAATGTTTGTGGAGAATGGAGAAGTGCAAGCAACCCTGTCCGTCGGGGAGGGGAAAGACATCCACCTGCCTTGCTGGATGCGTTCCACACTTTCCCAAAGGCTCCTTGCCTACACGGTTGCCTCGGATCAGATAAGATGGGCAGAGTAGCGAGCCAATCGCCATGGCTTGTTGTTCTGGACAAGTTGAGAGGCGGCAAAGACTGTCACATCGCACATGTCTAGAGTACACGGCCGTGGGGGATGTTAAATTACTCCGTAAATACACTCGATTTACTATAAATCGTGCAAGAAATTAATTCGTGGTGGTTTTCCAAAGGCCTTGTTTGGATTTGTTTGTTGCGGCTGAAGGATCCATTGATAGCAGAGTCGGACTCACATTCGTATAAGCGCAAATGCAGTAATCCACTTGCACAACGATACCCTTGGTCAGACTTTTCATCTTTACTACATAAATTGCATAGAAAAAGACGAGTAGGGCTTGTCCGGGTTGTAGGAAGCACATGCATCTCCTTGAAGGCGCATTTCCGGTCCAACTCGCGATACTAGGAGCGAGCTTCCGCGACATTGTGAGAGTCCGGACTACTCGTTCGCAACCAAGTGGGCTACGGGGCTCGCCCACTTAGTCGCCAACGGGTATTGATGAAGTTAGTACTAGTTCTCGAGAAAAACTTTTCAACACTCCAAGTATCGTCAAACCTGAATACTAACATACCCCTGAATCAATATAGACATGGATTACGGTACGAAGTAGAATATGGGGCTGCCAATACTTTCATAGCAGCCCCTCTTATTCACCTTGGGTAATTTCATTTCATTACTCGTGAGCAACAAGGGCACGCTTTAGGAGTAAACACCGGAGCTCTGACGAAAACGGCAAGAAGTTCAGCTATACACCTGTCACTCTCTTCGCGTCGTCAGCTTGCCGGCGTAAATGCGTATATATAACCAGCGTTGTTGCCGCCTAGATTGTCGATAACTCAGCTCCAGTCAGCCAAGTCTTCGCAGCAACGTCTCAGGCCTCCTTTCCTCAACCCCCTTTTACAACGTACAGAATATAATTCCGCATCCACAATGCGTTCTGTTTCTGCCATTGCTCTTCTCTCGGCCTTTGGCGCCGTTGTCAATGCCGCGCCGGCCACCATGAACAGCGTGAGCAGCCGACAGGCCGGAGACAAGGGAACCTTTACCATCTCCCAGAAGGCTCCCTTCCAGGACACCAGCCTCCTCCCTGCTCTCAACGGCGCCAGCCAGGTTGACCTGAACATGGAGGGCTATGAGATGGGATATCACCCCGACAGTGATCAGTACAAGTGCCACGGATCGTGCGGTCAGTTGCGAGCATAATAAAGACGCCGTGAAACAGTCGTAGGCTCCGTCACTAACAGTCCAACAGGCATCGTGCTGCGAATCAGCAGGCTGCCCGCGAGCGAGAAGTGCACCCACCCCTACGCCCAGCCCTTTGTCAACTTCTGCTTCGGCACCTGCAAGAACCTCGACGGCTTCTCGCCCTACCCTCCTGCCCTGGCCTTCAAGAACCAGTGCAAGCTCAACGCCCAGGAAGCTCGCTCGACCACGGTTGAGCAAGTCGCCAGCACCAGCGCCGAGGCCCCAGCCGTAAGTATCCCGCCGCCCTCTTTCTTGTTCGAGGCACGACGCCAATGGTCGACTGACCGTCATAGGTAGAGTACTAGTAGCTCTCAACCCGCCTCAACCACCGGTTCCCCGGTCTCACGGCCTACCGGTTCCGCCGCCGCCCCAAGCGGAAGCTCTAGCCAGGCTCCCCCGGCCTCCTCTTCGGCTTCTTCTCCCTCAAGAACCTCGGCGCCTCATGCCCTTCCCACCGGAACCACGAGCCCACGACCATCGCACCCCTCGGGCGTTGCCTCGGCCTCCGGCACCGCTCCCAAAGGTATGTTGTTATTTTTCCATCCTCAGGACAAGTAGTCTAGTGTGTGCCTATTTCTTATATTGGATTTTGACGATTTCTCTCCTCTTGAAGCCTGTCGTCCTCGCTCTCTAACTCGCCGTCTGTAGCCACGCCAACCAACGCTGGACCTGTGACTGCGGGCGCGGCTAGCACTTCCTTTAGCGTTATTGCCGCTATTACTGTCGCTACCCTCGCCATGATTATCGCCTGAGAAGACGTACGATCGACTGTTTAGTATTTTCCGAAAGAAATGTCACCTGTCTGACACGTTCTAGAAAGGGTCAGAGTGATTGTGTTCGGGTATCCGCCATGGATTACATGTAACTAGTAGATTGGAACGTTTTTCTTTTTTCAGTGCGATCTGGTGTTTACCACCTATTTTTACAATTTCATTACATAGTGCTACTTTAAAAATATATTTTCATGACGTCTTATGCTTGTTTGTATGAGTGTTGATTGGTCTCTTGTGGTGAAAAACTATCAATAAAGGTCTATACTATAACAACCTGGTATTTAAGCCATCACCTTTTAGAATTGTTTCGATATTTGACCATTTGCCAACATACTTTTATGATTCAGTAGCACCTTGTTTGTTGAAACGTGCGAGCCGCCTCCTCCCTCTGCCTACGTCTTGGCAAGATGTGTTGCCCCGGATTGCTGTTTTTCAAACAACTTTTGAACTTTTTGGTTCTGACAGCAACCAACCGGGCCCATGTATAGCAGCACATTTAAGCTCTGCACTAGACATACATCCCTGACCTCGCTTAACACATGTTGCCAATGGTGGGCCACAACCTTGCAGACGGTACAAACTGTCCCCATCGGAAACCCGGCGCTTGAACAGGGTACAACACGGGCTCAGCCGCATCTAGAAGGTGTGCACGGTGAATGATGCCAGGGGCTCTTGTTGCCATCCATGGACAGAGATTGCCGAGCCTGTTCCAGCATCATATCCAGGTCCTGGGCACTTTGTTTGTACCACATTGGCATCAATATTTGAGGCGTTTACATGCCTTGCTTTGCAAGTACCCAGATGTTGCCGAGGTTGCCAACAAAGAGCCTTGGAGCACGCCACGCCTTACGGTGCAAGCAACTCCCGCTGCTAACAGACTTTAAAGAAGGGATTTCAGTTCAAAAGGCTGCCTCTCGTCGACCTCTGAGTGCCTAACTATTTCATCGACTCCCCGCGGACATTGCTGCTGCATCCTGTCTTACTAGTACGAAACTGAGCTAATCAAGAGCAAGACATGAACACAATGGCCTTTTCCGCACCTTTGAACCGAGAAATATATGGGTCCAATTCCCAGCATTGGCATCCTCGTCAATGTCCCAAACAGCGAGAACATTCTTCCACCACCATCAGACTTGTACGACCCATGGTCAGCGAGTTACAAAGCGGCGCAAAATACCAAGTTTACATCAACATTTTAAATTGACAATGACAGTAGCCCGGGTGCCCGAGTTTCGACCGAGTCACCGAACATTGCCGTCGTCGACGTTTCAACTTGTCGCCAAGCGAGAGGCGTTGCCCAATGTGGAAAGTGGCCATTCCCGACTTGGCGTCAACTCGAGTTAGTTGCTCGACAAAGTATCATTAACACGTCAGAGGCCAAGATTTCCGCCCGTCGAGTTTCCCCGCATCCGAAGACGTAGAAAAGAAAAGACGGCTCGCCCTTGTTCCGAAAGACTCCCTTTTAGAAGCCACCAGTCGTGCTGCAACACCACGGTTGTCGTAGTCCTCCGCCTCTCGTGCAAAAGACGAATACACTCATTCCTCCCGCCATGGCATCAACCATGAAAGCCGTCAACTACAATGGCCCATTCAAGGTCAAGGTCCAAGAGGTTGGCATGCCCAAGATACAGCATCCAGATGACGTTATTCTCAAAGTGACAAGCGTATGCCAGCCCTTGACCAACTCTGCCCGCTCCTGCTCCCGTATATATTAACAGCAGTCGACCTCCAAGGCTGCGATTTGTGGTTCAGACCTGCAGTGAGTGACCAATACAAGGAGAGCGGTGTGGTGTCGGTGACTTCAAGCAGTAGCGCGGCCAACCGGCATTAATCGGCGCCGACAGGACCCACGCCCCCGGGCGGGAATTACGTCAGCCTCCCTCAATTCCAACACTGACGATGAATGCCCCGCCATCAATCACCGCCTCGGTTCAACCGTCGTCGACCTCACCTCGCCCGCAGCCCGCAAACCCGGCGACCCAACCACCACGCCCGTCTCACCACCGGCACCATGGCCCAGTCCACCGCCCACCGGCGCCTCCTCCAAGAATACCGCGCCCTGACAAACAGCCCCCCCGAGGGCATCACCGCCGGCCCCGTCTCCGAGGACGACCTCCTCCACTGGGAATGCCTCATCCAAGGCCCCGAGGGCACGCCCTTTGAAGGCGGCGTCTTCCCCGCCGAGCTGAAATTCCCCAAGGACTACCCGCTCGCGCCGCCGACCATGAAGTTCCTCGCCGACATGTGGCACCCCAACGGTACGGTACCTGATGAACCTCGCGCGACGGCGCCTTTTTCCCGCCCTCGCCCTCGCCGGCCCGCGATCGCTGACAAGCAGCAGTCTACCCCAGCGGCCTGGTCTGCATCTCCATCCTCCACCCGCCCGGCGACGACCCGAACCACTACGAGCACGCCTCTGAGCGCTGGTCCCCGATCCAGTCCGTCGAAAAGATTCTCATCTCCGTCATGAGCATGCTCGCCGAGCCCAACGACGAGAGCCCCGCCAACGTCGAAGCAGCCAAGATGTGGCGCGAGCGGCGGGCAGACTACGAGAACAAGGTCCGCGACGGTGTCAGGCGCATGCTGGGTTTATAGAAGGACGCCATCCATGTATGTCCATGCAAGGAAGGGGGGGTGCCTCATCATTCTGCAACGTGTACATGTAGCATACCACGGTGTTTCTTTTTTCTTCTTTTCTCTAGAGCGACAATGGCGGTACCGTCCTTCTTCGGCTGCCGCCGCTCCTTGCTGGAGCGACACGAATAGTAATATTTATCGAAAAAAAAATAAAAAATCACATGCTCATAGTCTATCATATGCCTCATCATGCTGTATTCCAACTCTTTCTACTTCAAAGTCCGTTCTCCGCCTTGAACTTGTCCCAGCTTTCGTTCAGGGTAGCAAATACCATGGCAGCAATAAGCCGGGCCTCTGTGCTCGCGGTCTGGGGCAGCTATGGCACCAATTAGCAACTCTGTAGTCGACAAAAAAAAAAAAGGGACCGAGAGCTTACCTTGTCCGGGTGAGTCTTGGCAATGGCCTTCATGTACGAAATCTTGACCTTGTTGGCCACGACCAACTCGTGCAAGCCGACCTTTTTCCATCCGCTATTCTCCCACAGCACCTGGTCTAAACTGGCTATGAGGGCTCGCAGGTTGTCTCTCTTGCCGTCCCTCCACGCTCCCACTCTGGCATCGACTTGATCCGCGAGCGCAAACTTCTCATCGTCCTCCCTGGCCGCTGCCGCATTCGCCTCGCGTAGCCTGGTGACTGCCTCGGAGCTGTTTCCCGAGGACAGGGCCGCCGTCGCAGAGGGTTTGGGTCTCGGCTTCGCTGCTGGCTTTGGCGCCGGTGCTTTGGGCCTCGGCGCGGCAATGTCTTTGCACCGCTGGCGACCTTTGGTGGCTGTCACCCCGCCTACGCCCGTTGCAACGCATTGCTCCCACGCGTTGAGGGCGTCGCCCCATTTCTCCATTTGCTCCAAGGCCTCGGCCTTTCGAGTGAGTGCCTTGCCGTACAGATCCTTCATGTTTCTGGTTTCTTCCTTGCCGTCTTCCCCTTGGACGGCAATGCTTTCGCCTTGGCCGTTTTCAGGACCAATGAGTTTCAATGCCTCGTCAGCATCTCTGACGGCTTGTTTCGTGTCCCCAGTCTTGATGGCCGTCAGGGCACGGTTTGTGAGAAGGATGATCATCAATGGATGCCCATCGGGGATGGCAGACATGGAATTAGAGTATGATGAATGAGCCATGCTATAGTCTCCTCGCTTGAAATGCGCAGAGCCTTCCAGCCGGTGCCTGGTAGACGATTGAAGAGCTGCTGCGCCGATGGGAGGGGCTTGTCGAGCCGGCTTTGGGGTGACCCTTTGTGAGGCCGGAGGCGTTGCCTGCGACTGCTTCATGAATGGTGGGGTTTGGCGTTGCGCCGGACGTTGGGGCAACGGCTGCGACGGCTTCGGCGCCTCGGTGCTGAAGAGCAAATTCGGTTCATCATCTGGTTGTCTTGGTTCTTCTGTTGGCGCAGGGGTCGTCTTCTTTCTTCTGTTTGCGCTGACAAAGAAGCTGTCATCGTCGTCAATGTTCATTCTATTTAGCCTTGATCTAGCGTCAGACACTGAAGGCGACGAAGTCTGCTGCCACCGGGGCACGGGACTATTTCGGCTCTGGTTTCCAGACGATGTTGCCGACGGCGATGATGTTCGCGACTGCTGCAAGCCTAGTCGACGGTCGGCTGCCGGCCGACTATTCGTCCTGCTTGGCTTTGTTCTGCCACCAGTTTCTAAAGCCATAGCTTCATCGGTGGCATCCTGGCTGGCATGCCCAGCATCGTGCCCTCGCCCGAGTTGGGCGTCACGCATCCACCTTGGCTGACTCGGATCGCCACCGTCTTGTTGAAAGTCTGCCACAGCTCGCTGCACCTTCTTCTGCCCGGATTTCCATAACGAATTTGCAGTTTTGAACAGACTGCTGCCCACCGCGGCCGCAGACTTGGTCAAGTCAGAGTCGCCACCCCGTCCAGATAAACCGCCCGCTTGACGCTCATGTGGGCTGGCAATCCGACCGGAACTGGTCGAAGAGCTCCGTCCTTGAGACATTTCTTTGGCCTTCCTATGGGCATCATCCAATAACCAATTTGCCGCGGCTTGTACATTAAGCCCCGCGCCGCTCTCAGTCAACCCGCGTCGCGCATCCTCGGGAGAGAATCCATAGTCCACAAGTTGTGCCACGGCTCGATCGAGTGCCGTGCTTACGCCAGCGTCTCCCCTGGTCTCCCGTTGTTGTTGTCGTGGCCGTGAACGTTCATCTTCCGATGAAGTGGAATCGTCATCCTCAATCGGTTTACCAGGTTCCGACTGCTGCTGCTGCTGCTGTTGTTTCATACGGACTTCTTCAACGGGCTTGCCCAAATCACCAAGGAAATCATCATCACCCCCCGCGGTCGCTTGTGCAGGGGCTGTAGATTGTCCGCTTGGCTTCAGATCGTTCAGCCCAAACGGGTCATCGTCATCGTCAAACCCATTCGCGTTTGCGTCATTATTGATGTCGGTAGGAATGCTCGAGGCACCCCAAGCACTTGGATTACTCAAATCCAACGTCTTCTTCTCCTCGAGGGGTGTCGAACGAAGTGATGTCGGGGGAGGGTAGTGGCTTGAATTGTCCACCTTGGTATCTTTGTTGAACGCAGCAAACAAGTCGTCGTCGTCGTTGGCAGCTCCATTTGACACAGCGGAAGGGGGTATGCTAGGGCTGGGAGTAAATGTGCGCGATCCCAAAGCATCCCATTGCTGCGCGCTGCCAAATTGCGCTTCCGCCTGTTTTTTTCTCTCGTCTTGTTTCTTCCTCTTCTCAGCCTCGAGTTGCGCTTGTCGTTCGGCCAAAGACAGGTTTTGTTTCGTCTTCGCGGGGCCAAAATTCATTAAATTGCTGAAGCTGTCCTGCGCTGGCTTGGCAGCAGATTTAGACAATGGCGATGAAACCCCCGGCGCTTGTGACGTCGACGAAGGCGTAGTACGTCCTGAACCGGCCGGGGGCGGAGTTGGTCGCAATGTTGGGTAGGACGAGTTCATGGGAATCGACATGGAGGGTTGTTTGGGTTGGGAGCCCGTCGGTTTGGACCAATCAAGGCCCGAGAGATCGTCCATCGTGAAGAAATCGTAAAGCGCAGTTTATCATCAGTCATCACTAAGGCGCTGCCAGCTCAATGCATTGTATGGGCAGCTACGCGGAATGTGCGGAGCAATAGTATTGTCGTATGCTCGAGTCGTGCTCATTCCAGCTTCAGGTCGGTTGATGTCGCGTGGCGGTTGCACATGTATTGCTGTGGCGCAGTACAGATGCTGGCCAATTATAGGGAAGAGGGGTGCCACAGGTGGCTCGTGCATTTCGTGACACTATTTCTGGGCTACGGCCACTCGCCTACCCTAAACCCACTGCTTGTAACATTATATACAATGAATTATCTATTAAATAACCACTGAGTTCACCAATCTGTACTTTAACCGTTGTACACTTCATCAAGACGCTGGTAAAAGTGATAGTGAACTTGCGATGTGGTCCTCATATTATAATACTATTATTCTGTCTAATAGAAGACACAAATTGTGACATGTACAAGACCACTGCACTCCGTAGATTTTGCGTGCAACACACATGTGCATTCTCTTCTAATCAACCCTGCTAGTCAGACCCTTAGGGTGGTATGACATGCACTAGACATCTAAGAAGCCACGGCTTTAATGGCGGAAGATTCCCCCTGCCCATCACTGCAAGACGTACATAGTTTCGCATGGATTGATTCTGGTTCTACATGTACGAAGTACGGATTACTCCGTGTGTACTCCGTACAATATTCTGTATCGCAGTTAAATGGCGTTGTAATTCCCTTGGTAAGTGGAGCCAAAATGATGGCTCTCGGGCTTCTACTACTAGTACTAGTACTAGTACTATCACATTCAGATTGTTCGTCGAATGGACCTTGTACCAACGACTCCACCATCTATTGTTTGCAATTTCCTCTCTTGATGACAAGACATGGGCCAAACAGGTTTTCTCGGGCTTGCCCGGTGCATCGACCGGCTTGTTCACTTTCTTTGGCTGCTGGGCGACAGCCCCGAGCTCTTTGTTGATCTCTGCCTGCGTCTTTTTTTGCGACCCTGTCAGGGAGGCAGACAGTCGTGACTGGTGACTGGTGTGTTGTTCATAACACGAGATCCGCCTCATTTCCAACGGGCTCTTTCTTACCAGCCAATACTACCTGCAACAGAGGAAATACCAGGGAATTGTATGATGACTAAAAAATACCTCCACTGACTTGGAGACAGGGTTGTTGTTTGAGACGCACGGGCTTGAGCAGCGAGCCTAAATCCAAGGCACACAAACGCTTTTCTCTTCAAACGCCACCAACAGATGGGTCCGAGACATGTACGGAGTACACGGAGCTGAGTTTCACTGCGTGCAAGGACGGAGAACGTACAACATAGTACATACTACATGTACATAACATCGCACACACCAATGAGCAAACGGCCAAGAGTCATCCTGTCCCATACCCTTGGTTTCGATGTTTGCTGGGGACCCGAAACAGAGACAGTCTGTGCTCTTGCGTCGGCAATGCAGTAGAAGGAGATCGATAGGCTCATGAACCGTTTGGATTCCACGTGAGGTGATGGGCAATCATTTTCATCAATAGCGCAAATGTATGATTGGCCATGGCCCGCAAGTATTGAAGTTTCCATTTAACCATGATGACTGTGTCCAACCACCGTACCTGAGTAGTACTCCGTACGGAGTACTAGCAAAGGTAATCCGTCTAGGATCGTCTTGTACAAAATAGTACTTCCTCTCCAGGAGGAGACGTCATTCATTATGCGGACCTGCGTGATTGTCATGAACATCAGATGTCCATCTGATCGATCTTCTGCCCGGTTGGACTCCTGTCAATCATCAGCAGGCCCTTCAGCGACTGAACCCGTGTTGCATTCAATCGCCTAGGAATTCATGGGGACTCTACGGAGTTCATATCTTGGTGCGGATTGGCTGGCCACACCCTCCGTCTCAGCCGAGTTTCAAGTTCCGGAGAACAGAGTGGAGGAATCG